CCTACTGGACATCTGTGACACAAAAGAGCTTTATAGCTCTTCGGATTCCTCCTGCCGGTATAAAATATTTTGATTCTGAATCATGAACCCCACCACCTACTAACCCCCCCCTCCCTCAAATCAACAATGTAATACTATCCAAGTATGGATTATGAGCCGTTAAATTGAATGTAAACGTATTGAAAGGGCTTACTGTACCAAGGGTTTCCTGTTCGGGGCCCACGTGATTGCGGAAACGGAGTGACCGAAAGCTTCCACTGGCAACGAGAGCAGGGAACACTTCCACGGGAACAAACCCACCACCACCACCCATCTGCGTGGAAACTCACTCACCTACCGACTCACCCACTCATTCACTCACCTACCGACTCACCCACTCACTCACTCACCTACCGACTCATTCACTCACTCACTCACCTACCGACTCACCCACTCATTCACTCACCTACCGACTCACCCACTCACTCACTCACCTACCGACTCATTCACTCACTCACCTACCGACTCACCCACTCATTCACTCACCTACCGACTCACCCACTCATTCACTCACCTACCGACTCACCCACTCATTCACTCACCTACCGACTCATTCACTCACTTACTCACCTACCGACTCACTCACCTACCGACTCATTCACTCACTCACCTACCGACTCGCCCACTCATTCACTCACCTACCGACTCATTCACTCACTCACTCACTCACCTACCGACTCACCCACTCATTCACTCACTCACTCACCTACCGACTCATTCACTCACTCACCTACCGACTCGCCCACTCATTCACTCACCTACCGACTCATTCACTCACTCACTCACCTACCGACTCACCCACTCATTCACTCACCTACCGACTCATTCACTCACTCACTCACCTACCGACTCATTCACCTACCGACTTACCCACTTACTCACCTACTGACTCACCCACTCACTCACCTACCGACTCACTCACCTACCGACTCATTCACTCATTCACTCACCTACCGACTCACTCACCTACCGACTTACCCACTTACTCACTCACCTACCGACTCACCCACTCACTCACCTACCGACTCACTCACCTACCGACTCACCCACTCATTCACTCACTCACCTACCGACTCACCCACTTCCTCACCTACCGACCCACTCACTCACTTAACGACTCATTCACCCACTCACTCACTCACCCACTCACTCACTGACCTACCGACTCACCCACTCATTCACTTAACGACTCACTCACCTACCGACTCACCCACTCACTCACTTACCGACTCACTCACTCACCTACCGACTCACCTACCGACTCACTCACTCACCTACCGACTCACCCACTCACTCACCGACTCACTCACCTACCGACTCACTCACTCACCGACTCACTCACCTACCGACTCACTCACTCACCCACCTACCGACCCACTCACCTTGCAGACTCACCCACCCACCCACTCATCACACACACACGCAAAGCGCTCGCCACAAACGAACCACAAACACGTTGCTGATTTCATCAAGAAACATAAACCATCATCACGCAAACTCTGGTCACCCTCACAGCAGCAGCGGCCTTTTGTCCGGCCGTCAAACAAAAACGGTCACTGTGTCGCGTGGCGCTTTCCGATGCGCTTCTGCGGGCCGTCTGGAACGCTCTTCCGATGTTCGGAAGGCACTGGCAGCTATGCACACTTAAGTCGTCTCGACTGAAAACTAAGTTCTTTGGAATTGCTTTTTGGTTTTGATTTAAAGCTTTCGTGACTGCAGGGGATTCATATTCTTGGTTCTTTCGGTAAAGTCACCACGTAGAAGGGAAACAATAAAATAATAAAAAATATATAAAACAATAAAATTCTCACGACGTTTCGACTGCAGCGCGAGCAATCATCATCAGGTGTGCAAACCACAGCAAATTTTCTTGGTTTATGTTTTTATTATTTTATTGTTTCCCTTCTACGTGGCTTTACCGAAAGAGCCAAGAATATGATTGCTTTTTGTGTTTAGCTTTGCTGTCCTTCCCCCGCACCTCCGATACGTTTTACCTAACACTCTCCCACCTACCCCGTGGCAAATAGTGTCGCCTCCGACCCTTTATCCACGCTACCTCTCTCACCTCTCTATGTGCTATGAAGACAGGGGGGGTCATTGCTCGAAACGTCGCCTGTTTTATAAATAAGTATGTTTTAAGGACGCACGGCGTTGTTAACAAATGCGCGTGGCTCCTCATTTCTTCCTCCCCCCCCGCCTCGGCTTTCGCCCCAAGCGGTCGGCACTTCGTCTCCTCGCTGCTCTGCAACACTCTGCAACGTCCGTAGATCTTCATCCGTCAGTGTCCACAGTGTTGGCGAGGTCCATGCGGCTCCTCTGCATCTCGTTATCAAGCTCGCTTCGTTAGCGCCGGGGAGGTGTGAATGCCGTCAGTGGTGAGGACAGGCGCCAACGGCCTCCCACGACGTCCTCGCCAGTATGGAAGAGTAGGCCAATTACCCTCTTGGGGGCAGCGAGGTGAGCAGGCTATTGCAGGGCCTCCTCTTTGGTTCTTTCGGTAAAGTCACGTAGGTCTCTTTTATGTTTCTACCTACGCGACTTCAGCGAAAGAACCAAAGTGTGTGGATTTCATGCAGTCACGAAAGCTTCGAATCCAGAGGAAGGTTTTTGTTTGTGCCAGGTTAGGTCGTGGCGTTCATGTGAAATCGTATTGGTCGGACAAAGCCTGAACGTTCAATGGAAGGTCAGGCTGGGCGTGTGATTGGGTCCTCAAGGCGTTCGTTGTTTTTGCCATTTTCTGATTCCTTGCAAAAGGTATCCGTTTGCTGTTTGAACACCTTAACGCCTATATTGTTGGTTCTTTCGGTAAAGTCACGTAGAAGGGAAACAATTAAAAAAATATGAAACAATAAAATTCTCACGACGTTTCGACTGCAACACAAGCAATCATCATCATCAGGTGATTGCTTGTGTTCATCATCAGGTGGTTGCTTGTGTTGCAGTCGAAACGTCGTGAGAATTGTATTGTTTTATATATTATTTATTAGTTCATTGGTTCCCTTTTACGTGACTTTACCCGAAAGAATCAAGAATATGAACCCCCTGCAGTCACGAAAGCTTTAAATCAAAACCTTAACACCTGTTTCATTCGCCAGAAAGGGTTAAAACCTACACCCTATTTTTCATCCTTTGCCACGTATATTCCACGAGCGATGATGATGCTGCCTGTAAAACGTTGATTCTGCGATGTCTCTCTCCGACGTCCACGACACACGCACGCACGCACGCACACGTGCGCGCGCACTCGAATCGTGCATTTGAGAATCAAATATTGAATACTTATGCAAGGTTTACACAAATTATTTCCCGGAAGCTTAAGAGCGGCGCAGTGGTTAGCGCCACGCTGCGCTACGAACCACGGCCACCCGAGTTCGATTCCCGTTCACGGCCCCCACAGCGAGTGCACGCTGCGGTGTGTGAAACGTCGCCGCTGGGAGAGACAAAGGCGGACGGGGCGGCCGTGGTTGCTGGCCACAAGGCCGGCCTTCATCAGCGCCTACTCGCTTAACTGCACTCGCCCCAAAAGTCTGTTCAGGCTACACGGGGAAACGACCGGGCGCGTGCGCTCGTCCATGCGAACACGCGCGCTGGCGCGTGTTCCGAGTGTAGGAAGGAAAACCGCAGCTGGAAATTTCGTGGCGTCATCGGTGACCGCCGTGCCAGCGGCGGGGGTGGCTGTCCGGTGAATGTGCATGCTCGCCGCGCGTGCGTGCGTGTGTCGCGCCGGGCCACGAAGCCCTGGCGGTTTCGAGTTCGATTCCCGTTCGCGGCCACCAACGCCGGCGACGGTTATTTTCAACCGGTCCTGGGCCTCCCCCCTAGCTCGACTCGGCCTCAAACGAGTACCCGGTGCGGTGCGAAAACATCGCCAGTGGGGAGACAAAGGCGGCCGGGCGTGGTGCTCCCTAGTAGCAGCGGCAGTGTGGCGGTCAGCGCTACGAACCCCGGCGGCCCCGGGTTCGATTCCCGTTCGCGGCCGCCAACGCCGGCGACGATCATTTGAACCGGTCCTGGGCCTCTCCTAGGTCGACTCAGCCTCACGTTAGTACCCGGTGCGATGTGAAAACATCGCCACTGGGGAGACAAATGCGGCCGGGCGTGTTGCTGGCCCAGCGCTTGCCCCAACAGCCTGCTAAGGTGACACGGGGGGATGGTTGTGCATGCGTGGGGACCGTGATGCCCTTATATGGGTTCGGCTGCGACCAGCGCTGATCCTCTCTGTTGGACTCACACGACCGTTGGGGTCTCCCATCGATGATGATGGTGTTGATGTTGTTCGTGTTGACCGTGACGCTGGCGGTGTCCGTGTTGTTGTTGGTGGTGACGCTGATGGTGTCGGTGTTGTTGGTGGTGTTGGTGGTGACGCTGATGGTGTCGGTGTTGTTGGTGGTGTTGATGGTGATGTTGACGGTGTTGATGATGGTGTTGATGGTGATGCTGATGGTGTCGATGTTGGTGGTGTTGATGTTGACACTGATGGTGTCGGTGTTGATGATGACGTAGATGGTGGCGGTGTTGTTGGTGGTGTTGGTGGTGACACTGATGGTGTCAGTGTTGATGGTGATGTAGATGGTGGCGATGTTGTTGGTGGTGTTGATGGTGACGCTGATGGTGTCAGTGTTGATGGTGACGATGATGGTAGCGGTGTTGTTGGTGGGGTTGATGGTGACACTGATGGTGTCGGTGTTGATGGTGATGCTGATGGTAGCGGTGTTGTTGGTAGTGTTGATGGTGACACTGATGGTGTCAGTGTTGATGGTGACGATGATGGTGGCGGTGCTGTTGGTGGTGTTGATGGTGACGCTGATGGTGGCGGTGTTGGTGGTGACGTTGATGGTGGCGGTGTTGGTGGTGACGCTGATGGTGGCGGTGCTGTTGGTGGTGTTGATGGTGACGCTGATGGTGGCGGTATTGTTGGCGGTGTTGATGGTGACGCTGATGGTGTCCACGGTGTTCCCCAGGCCCAGCAGGTGGAGCTGGTGGACTATGAGGGCGTGGTGGAGAGGGCGGTGGGCGCTCTGGACGACTCCGCCGAGGGAGAGGAGCTGCGGCATCTCATGCTCTTCCCGGAGGACGACGTCACGGTAAGCCTGCCCCAAAGGCAAAGATCCCCCGTGTAGCCTTCACAGACTGTTGGGGCAAGTGCTGCTCCCGAGCGGCACCTATGAAGGCTGGCACGGCACACGAGGGAGTGGGTGACCAGCTCCACGCCCGGGCGACTTTTGTCTCCCGGAGTGTCGTTGTTTACACAGCGCACCGGGTACTCATTTGACGCTGGGTCGACATTGAGGACGCCCAAGACCGGTTCACACGATCGTCACTGGTCTTGGCCATGAGCGAGAATCGAACTCAGGTAGCAGGGTTCGTTGCGCAGCGCTCTAAACACTTTGCCACCATTCCCCATAGCTTGCCCCGCACACACATACAGCTGCATCATCATCATCAGCAATATCATCAGCATCATCAGCACCATCAGCAGCAGCATCAGAATTATCATCAGCAGCATCATCAGAATCACCATTATCAGCAACAGCAGTATTATCATCAGCATTATCAGCATCGGCAGCATCAGCATCTTATCATCAGCATCGGCAGCACCAGCAGCATCAGCGTCACCGCGTCAGATTCATTGACAATACAACTGACATTTAAACGAGCATCATCAACGCAATGATACCAGATTCGCTAACACGTCGAGGCCAGCAAAGCCGGTGAGAGGGAATCGCTTCTCAACTCGGCCGGCGATGGTGAGGACTCGCGACCGACCGGGACGGTCAAACCTTACAGGCGGAGCTTCGTGCGTGGCTCAGGTCGTACCGGCTCATCCGCCTTTCATCCAGAGAGGCGTAGTAGCGCCGTCGTTCTTGAAGGCGTCGTTACTCGTCGCAGAGAACCGCATCGACACGATCGCCGCACTCTACGATAGCTGGCGCCAAAACCGTGCCGCACGCCCTCCCGCGTGGCCTCGGGGGAGGGCTCGGTACGTCCCACCGACCTGAAGACGAACCGATGAAGTTACTTCACATTTTGATTTAAATTTTTATTTAAAGCTTTCGTGACTGCGGGCATTCATATTCTTGGTTCTTTCGGTGAAGTCACCACCACGTAGAAGGGAAACAATAAAATAATGAAAATATGTAAAACAATAAAATTCTCACGACGTCTCGACTGCAACGCAAGAAGCAATCATCATCAGGCGTGAAAACCACACTTCACATTCTTTGGGTCTTTCGGTCAAGTCACGTAGATAGGTTGGAAGAAAGTAACCGAAAACTACGACGTTTCGATCGCAACGCAAGCGATCATCATCAGGAGGACAAAACGAAGGGGAAAGCTGCTGAGGCAGGCTGTTTTAAAGGTTTACAAATGTGTGTAGCCCAAGGGGCATAAAGGAAGTTGGCGGGGCTAGCGACGTTAAAGCGAGAAATTACTTTACTTTAGGATGTGTACGTTATCGGAACGGCGCCGGGGAAAAACAAACAAACAACTTGATGACGTTTCACGTGTGTCATCGGAACGGGGGAGAGGGTTAAGAGGAGCTCGCTGACTGTGAGCCCCCCACCACCCACCCCCCCACCACCCCCCCACCACCTCCCCACCACCTCCCCACCACCACCCCTTGTCGCCACGCAGCTCGCGACGGAGCCCCGGGAGCGGAGGACGCTGCGCTCCGCCGTCCCGGAGTTGGACGGCGCCGACGCCACCAGCCTCCTCGTGCGCGAGGTGAGGACACGCGCGGTGGCGGAGACGCCAACGTCGGCGGAGACGCCAACGTCGGCGGAGACGCCAACGTCGGCGGAGACGCCAACGTCGGCGGAGACGCCAACGTCGGCGGAGACGCCAACGTCGGCGGAGACGCCAACGTCGGCGGAGACGCCAACGTCGGCGTCGTCAGCAGTGCCACCGGCTGATACTACCAGCTGATACTACCAGCTGATACTACCAGCTGGTGGCAGTGCTACTAGCTGATACTATCAACTGATACTACCAGCTGATGGCAGTGCTACTAGCTGATGCTACCAGCTGATGCTACCAGCTGATACTACCAGCTGATACTACCAGCTGGTGGCAGTGCTACCGGCTGATACTACCAGCTGATACTACCAACTGATACTACCAGCTGGTGGCAGTGCTACCGGCTTATACTACAAGCTGATGCTACCAGCTGATGCTACCGGCTGATACCACCAGCTGATACTACCAGCTGATACTACCAGTTGATGGCAGTGCCACCAGCTGATACTACCAGCTGATACTACCAGCTGATGCTACCGGCTGATACTACCAGCTGATACTACCAGCTGATACTATCAACTGATACTACCTGCTGATGGCAGTGCTACTAGCTGATACTACCAGCTGATGCTACCAGCTGATACTACCAGCTGATGCTATCAGCTGATACTACCAGCTGATGGCAGTGCTACCAGCTGATACTACTTGCTGATACTACCAACTGATACTACCAGCTGATGGCAGTGCTACCAGCTGATACTACCACCTGATGGCAGTGCTACTAGCTGATACTATTAGCTGATGCTACCAGCTGATACTACCAGCTGATGGCAGTGCTACTAGCTGATACTACCAGCTGATACTACCAGCTGATATTACCAGCTGATGGCAGTGCTACTAGCTGATACTACCAGCTGATACTACCAGCTGATACTACCAGCTGATACTACCACCTGATGGCAGTGCTACTAGCTGATACTACCAGCTGATACTACCAGCTGGTGGCAGTGCTACTAGCTGATACTACCAGCTGATATTACCAGCTGGTGGCAGTGCTACTAGCTGATACTACCAGCTGATATTACCAGCTGGTGGCAGTGCTATAAGCTGATGCTACCAGCTGCGGCTACCATCTGATATTTCCAGCTGATGGCAGTGCTACCAGCTGATACTACCAACTGATACTACCATCTGCTGCTACCAGGTGATATTACCAGCTGGTGGCAGTGCTATTAGCTGATGCTACCAGCTGATACTTCCAGCTGATGCTACCAGCTGATACTACCAGCTGATACTACCAGCTGATGCTACCGGCTGATACTACCAGCTGATACTACCAGCTGATACTACCAGCTGATACTACCAGCTGATGGCAGTGCTACTAGCTGATGGTACCAGCTGATACTACCAGCTGATAGAAGTACTACAAGCTGATGGCAGTGCTACCAGCTGATACTATCAGCTGATGGCAGTACTATGAGGTCAAAATCTCAGGGCTTCGCGGTCGGCGGTCCACCGGCCGCTGCATGGTGTACGAGACTCTTTGTAGACATTTAACCAGTTCAGTAGAAAATGTAAAACGGAACTATTTAATAGGGCTTATAAGCGACTTGGCTATCACAAATTATATTCTCAATGAAGTGGCTCATTGTCGCGTGGAATTTTATAGCAGCCAAATACTCTGAGCTCACGTTGATTATAAATGCGCAGGGAAACACCGGAGGACCCGGGGAAAAATCCACGCCACCACGGGGAGAGAGAGAGACACGCAAAGTCCAAATATACAGCAGGCGTCAGGGTCGGGATCGAATCCATGTCCTCTTGCATACCAGGCGAGGTAATTAACATCTCCTAGCTACCGTCATGACGATGAAAGATGCAGACTCCAACTATACAGCAGGCATCAGGGTTGGGATCGAACCCACGACCTTCATTCCAGGCGAGGGATTAACATCTCGCCACCGCGGCGCCCGGTGGCTGCCCGTGCTCCCGACCCATCGCTCTCTCTCACTTTCTCCCTCTTTCCGCCTGTCACAATCTCGCCTCCATCCGCTTTCGCAGTGCATCAAGACCTACAACTCGGACTGGCACGTCATCAAGTACAAGTACGAGCCCTACTCGGGGGACGTGCATCGTCTGCCCAGGTAGGCCGCAGGCTCCTCCCTCCACTCCTCGTGGCGTTGCGTAGTGGAGATACCCTTGTCACTCGGGGCTTTGATTTCAATGGCGGATCTCGCGTTTGAGATTTCGTGATGGGGTTTCGCGTTTTCGTTTTAAGGCCGGGTCTCGGTTTCAAATTTCTCGTCGGGTCTCCTGTTTTGGTTTTAATGCCGGGTCTCGCGTTCAGATTTCTCGATGGGTCTCGCGTTTTTGTTTTAAAGCCGGGTCTCGCGTTCAGATTTATCGATGGGTCTCACGTTTTTGTTTTAAAGCCGGGTCTCACGTTCAAATTTCTCGACGGTTCTCGTATTTTGGTTTTTAATGCCGCGTCTCGCGTTCAGATTTCTCGATGGGTCTCGCGTTTTTGTTTTAACGCCAAGCCTCGCGGCGTTTAGATTTCATGATAGTATTTCACGTTTCAGTTTCAACACCGGGTCTCGTGGTGTTTAGATTTCCCGATAGGGTGTCGCAGTTTTGGTTTCAACGCCGCGGCGGTCGTGCGGTTGTTCTGTAAACAGAAAGGACCTGCAGACGGACCGGCTCGTGAGTCATCAGTTCGAGATCGATGAGCTCACAGAGAACGACGAGGTGAGATGCCCTTGGCGGAGCGATGGTCACGTCGTCCAATTGAATCCTCCGCATTTTTTTTCTCGCACCGATTTACTTTTTTTCTCCCGTTTAAAAAAAAAACAAACCCCACCAGTTGTCTCTCTTTGTTTAACCAAATTCATTCATGCTCACACATTACATGATTGGGATGGGCAAGCATAAAAAAACAAATAGCAGTATCGCCACACCCCTTCCCGACTGGCAGGCTTATGCATGCCCACTTGCAGGCCTACTGCTGCGCACTACTTATCCATCATGGGGGACAGCTGCCACTGGGGGTCACCTAGGTCACAGCGGCCGTGTACACACAGCAGCACCGTGGCACGAGACGTGGAGTCGGCGGCAGAGAGTGGCTGGGAAAACAACAAAACTACAGTAAAACCTTGGATTGCGAGCATAATTCGTTCCGGAAACGTGTTTGTAATCCAAAGCACTCGTATATCAAAGCAGTCGTGTATCAGTTGTGATCACGTGACGCTCGGCAGACAAAACGTGTACGCATTACTTGTATTGCAAGACCTCGCTCGGAGAAAAATCCACGCGGCCACGGGGAGAGGGACATGCACACTCCAATTATACAGGCATCATGGTCGGGATTGATCCCGTGACCCCCTAAAAACCAGGCGTTTAGAGCATTTGGCTGCTATAAACTTCCACGTGATGATAAGCCACTTCGTTGAGCTATCATGTGATGGCTAGTTCGCTTCTGATAAAGAGCTATATAGCTCAGTGGGCCTTAGCTGGCAATAAAAAATTGTTTTTAGTTTTAGGCTTGCATACACATCACTCGTCCATACACAGGCACCCACGGACTCACGTTGATAGAGTTGTGGTGAAACCGGCTTCACAGGTAAAGTGAGTTGGTGGTCTCTGCCCAATCGCCAATAACTGCACGGAAAGAAAAACATCAATAAAAATTTGGTTTTGCACTTCATTTTGGATGAATTTCAGCTCTTGAGATTGATTTTTTTTTATCATCAATGTTTTGACCGGACGTCCTGAAGATTTCAGAGGAATGTTGGTGGGAATGTATGCCCACTGCTGTGTAAAGGAAAAAAATGCCACTTTTTGAACGATTTTTGTCGCAGCTGTTTTTTGACAAAATGGCTCCCACACAGCCTTGCGAGATTTCCACATTGATTCCTCATCGCATGACATGATGCGAACGACATCATTGGTAGAAATTCCCTGTGCGTGCGTGACCTCTGTGCCTGTCATCCACCGTTCCCTGTGCGTGCGTGACCTCTGTGCCTGTCATCCACCGTTCCGTGTGCGTGCGTGACCTCTGCGCGTGTCATCCACCATTCCGTGTGCGTGCGTGACCTCTGTGCCTGTCATCCACCGTTCCGTGTGCGTGCGTGACCTCTGTGCATGTCGTCCACCGTTCCGTGTCCCTGCGTGACCTCTGCGCGAGTCTCCCAGGATTCCGTGTGCGTGCGTGACTTCTGTGCCTGTCATCCACCGTTCCGTGTGCGTGCGTGACTTCTGTGCCTGTCATCCACCGTTCCGTGTGCGGGCGTGACCTCTGTGCCTGTCGTCCACCGTTCCGTGTCCCTGCGTGACCTCTGCGCGTGTCTCCCAGGATTCCGTGTCCTTGGCCTCGCTGAGAAGTGGCGTCACCAAGCAGGGCTGGCTCTACAAAGGCAACTTCACGAGTACGAGCAGTGTCACCATGAAGGTGAGAGATGCACTCGAGGGCCTGTGCCCAGATTGGAATCCTCACCCGCACAGCAGGTAGCACTGCTATCAACTCGTAGTATCGGCTGGTAATATTGCTATCAGCTGATCGCATTGAATATCGGCTAATAGTATCAGCTGGTACTATTGCTATCAGCTGATCGCATTGCTATCAGCTAATAGTATCAGCTGGTACTATTGCTATCAGCTGATCGCATTGCTATCAGCTAATAGTATCAGCTGCTACTATTGCTATCAGCTGATCGTATTGCTATCAGCTAATAGTATCAGCTGCTACTATTGCTATCAGCTGATCGCATTGAATATCGGCTAATAGTATCAGCTGGTACTATTGCCATCAGCTGGTAGCACTGCTCTCCACTGGTAGCACCGCTATCAGCAAGTGGCACGGGCAGGCAATTGCAGGGCTGCTCCTTTGTCCTCCACCGTCAGTTTTTTTTTTCCCCTTGCAGACGTTCAAGCGGAGGTTCTTCCACCTGAGCCAGCAGCCGGACGGGTCGTACGCTCTCAACTTCTACAAGGACGACAAGAGCCTGGCCGAGGCCAAAGGCTCCATCTTCCTGGACGCGTGCCTGGGCGTCGTGCCGGTAGGACCCCGGTGGGCGGGGGCCGGTGGGGGTGGGGCCCGGCTGCGGGCAGGACGACGGGCGTGAAGGTTGGCGAGTGTGTACACACGGCGCTGTGTGTACACACGGCGCTGTGTGTAGACACGATGCTGCGTGGACCCAGGTGACCCCCAGTGTCAGCTGTCTCCGTGAGGGACAAGTAGTATGCAGCGGCGGCCTGCAAGAGGGCATAGGCCTGCCACTAGTGGGGGGCGATGCTCCCGTTTGTTTTTGCCTTTCCTAATTGCATAGTTTGCGAGGATTTCTTTTTTTTACTGAATTCGGCAAAAAACTGAAACTAAGCAATTTGTTTTATTTTACAAGGTAAGGTCCACTGAGCTGTGCAGCTCTATTTCAGAAGTGACCTGGCCACAAATGGTCGCTCAGCGAATTGGCTTCTCGCTTGGAAATTTCTCGCAGCCAAATACTCTGACACGCGTGACGTCGATTCTAAATCTGGAGGGGAAAAACCGGAGGTCCCGGAGGAGAAAAATCCACGCGGCCACGAGGAGGGACGGAGAGAACAACGGGCGTCACGGTCGGGTTCGAATCCACGACCTCCTGCATAGCAGGCGAGGTCACTAACATCTCCTAGCCACCGTGATGATGGTGAGAAACGCAAACCCCAAATATACAGCAGGCGTCAGGGTCGGCTTCGAACCCACGACCTCCTGCATACCAGGCCAGGTCGCTAACATCTCCTAGCCACTGCGGCAAATGTGAACCATGCCTCCGCCAGCGTGCGTCCTGAACACCCCGCTGCGTTCAAGTCCGCTGCTAGAACCGCAACCTTCCGCTCCCGCACCACCCCACCACCCCCGGCGCGTCCCCGCCTGACGCTGCCGCCGTCGCTTTGCCTCCGCGGGCGTCATCAGAACGCGAGGCTGCGGCGCCACGCGTTCGAGCTGAAGATGATGGACCGCAGCAGCGTGGTGTTGGCGGCGGACAGCGACGCCGAGGTGGACGAGTGGAGGGCTCTGCTCCACAAGGTACTGCAGGGCCAGTTCGAGGCGGCCATGCAGGACAACAAGGCCCAGGAGGCGGACAGGAGGAGCCGAGGTGCGTGGACGTCCGGGGTCTCTTGTCCTTTGCCGGCAGGAAGCCGCTCTGTTTGTCTGTTGTCCAGAGACCCCATCGGTGTCTGGGACTGCCTGTCTGTTGTCTAGCGATCCCAACGAAGACTAGGACTGTCTGTCTGTTGTCTAGAGACCCCATCAGTGTCTGGGACTGCCTGTCTGTTGTCTAGAGATCCCAACAGAGACTAGGACTGTCTGTTTGTTGTCTAGGGACCTCATCAGTGTCTGGGACCGTCTGTCTAATGTCTAGAGATCCCAACAGAGATTAGGACTGTCTGTTTGTTGTCTAGGGACCTCATCAGTGTCTGGGACCGTCTGTCTAATGTCTAGAGATCCCAACAGAGATTAGGACTGTCTGTCTGTTGTCTAGAGATCCCAACAGAGATTAGGACTGTCTGTCTGTTATCTAGAGATCCCAACAGAGACTAGGACTGTCTGTTGTCTAGAGATCCCAACGGAGACTAGGACTGCCTGTCTGTTGTCTAGGGACCTCATCAGTGTCTGGGACTGTCTGTTGTCTAGAGATCCCAACAGAGATTAGGACTGTCTGTCTGTTGTTTAGAGACCCCATCAGAGACCGGTTGTGATTCGTACATCTGTTGGCATGAAGACTCCATGCCGTACGGATGGGATGTCAAAGCAAAGTGGGTTTAACGAGTTCAGGGATATTGCTGAAAGGATGTTGCAAGATGCTCAGAAACACGACCATAAAACGCTACATCAGTGTGCACAAGCAGAGTGGGAGTGCATGAATAATTGTGTTTGTGGTCATTGTATTGTCGGCAGTGGTGGTATTGATTAATAGCACTTTCCCCAACAGCTTTGGTGTTGATGATAGTGGTGGTTGTCCTAATTAAACATGATCTGGCATGGTACTGACCATACCGCTCCCTCGTGTGCCATGTAGGCCTTAATAGGCGCCCGCTAACAGCACTCGCTCCAACAGTCTGTATGACTACACGGGGGATCTTTGCCTTTTGTGTGGTGGTCTCAATGATGACAGTGGTGGTGACTGTCCTAATAATGGTGGTTATGATGGCGCTGGTGATGCTGGTTGTAGTGATAATACTGGTTGTTTTGTTGATGGCTGTATTTATGGTGGTGTTGATGAACGTGGTAGAGGGGATGGTGGTGGTGGTGGTGATGGCTTCGCGATTTGTCCACCGTGTGCTCTTGTGCAGATGACAGCGATTGCCCTGATGCAGCGGAGTCGTGTGAGAGCTCCGATATTCAGCTGCAGCTCGTCACGGTGAGTCTCGCGTACTGACGAGTCTCAGGGTGAGTCTCACACTGAGTCTCAGGGTGAGTCTCGCGTACTGACGAGACTCATGCTGAGTCTCAGGGTGAGTCTCAGGGTGAGTCACGCTTACAGACGAAACTCACGCTGAGTCTCAGGGTGAGTCTCACGCTGAGTCTCAAGGTGAGTCTCAGGGTGAGTCTCGCGTACTGACGAGACTCATGCTGAGTCTCAGGGTGAGTCTCAGGGTGAGTCACGCTTACAGACGAAACTCACGCTGAGTCTCAGGGTGAGTCTCACGCTGAGTCTCAAGGTGAGTCTCGCGTAATGAAGAGACTCACGCTGAGTCTCAGGGTGAGTCTCAGGGTGAGTCACGCTTACAGACGAAACTCACGCTGAGTCTCAGGGTGAGTCTCACGCTGAGTCTCAAGGTGAGTCTCGCGTAATGCAGAGACTCACGCTGAGTCTCAGGGTGAGTCTCAGGGTGAATCATGCTTACAGACGAGACTCACGCTGAGACTCACGCTGTGCCTCAAGGTGAGTCTCGCGTACTGACGAGACTCACGCTGAGTCTCAGGGTGAGTCTCAGGATGAAGCACGCTTACAGACGAGACTCACGCTGAGTCTCAGGGTGAGTCTCAGGGTGAGTCACGCTTACAGACGAGACTCACGCTGAGTCTCAGGGTGTATGTCAGGGTGAGTCACGTGTATGGACGAAACTCACGCTGAATCTCCGGGGGAGTCTCAGGGTGAGTCTCAGGGTGAGTCTCAGGGTGAGTCACGCTTACAGACAAAACTCACGCTGAGTGTCAGGGTGAGTCTCACTGCCGGTCACGGTACAGAGCTGCTACGATGACCATTCTTATTCTATCACCGGCCACTTGTCGATGTTTAACACGCACCAGACTCGGCTCTCCACCGGTCATTCCTGGTTGTCACGAACCGCTAAATTAGGCCCCATGCTGCCAGGTCGTCTGCCAGGGCCATTCTCCTCCGGCCGCAAGGTGGTGCTCCTCCCGTCAACGAGAGCTCCTCATAAACCGGGGCGGTTTCTGCGCGGCAAGATGCCCAGTAGCCCGGCGGAATGGGGGGTGGGGGGATGACACGCGAAATCACGTCGGGGGGTGCGGTGTCTTCTGCGCGCAGGATGCCAAGACGCACGAGGAGACGACGAGGGTGAGCAGGAAGGAGGGCCGACTGAACGTCTTCGTGCTCACCCCCGAGATGCAGGTGGTCCTAACGATCGTTTCACTCGGCGCGCACGCACGCGCGATCGCCGGCCCGTGTCGGGAACGATCTTGTTCGGCTGTTTTACGGGTATTGCCGTGCTCGGAGGAATTTGGCGGGATGTTATCTCCCTCGCCTGCTATGCAGGAGGAGTTTTCTCTCTCCCCGTGGTCGTGCGGATTTTTCTCCGGGTCCCCCTGGTTTTGTCACACCACGTTTAGAAATTTGGGCTTAGATTATCCTGACCGCTATACACTTCCACATGATGTATGGCACTTTGTTGAGCCATCATTTGTGGCCAAGTCGCGTCTGAAAACGAGCTATACAGCTCAGTGGTCTTTACCTTTTGTTTGATAAGGTCGCATTCATTACACACAGCGCTTGGCACAAATTAACCGCAGTACCCTCGCTGATCTCGTCAAGGAGCACTCACCATCACGCTAAATCTGGTCATCTTCGCCGCAGCGGCTTTTTGCGCTAGCCATCGCACAAAAGACGGCAACTGCATCGCGCGCTTTCAGGTGTGCTTCCAGAGGGCCACTTCCGCGGCCCTCTGGAATGCTCTTTTTTCCGATGTTAAAAGAAAAGCCACTGGAGCTATGCAAATTATCTAGATTGAAAACTAATTTCCTCAGAACCGCTATTTGGGTGTTAGTTTGTTGTCCTTTCCTCTACACCTCCGCTGCGAAACACGTTGAACATTACCGGTAAAAAAAAAAAAAATGGTTTAGTCGTTTAGCCTCTATGCCGAGCGGGATTGCTTGTTGGCCTTCGCTGCTCTTTAACGCCTCCCCTGTGACCTCGCTGCACCGGTGCTGCCTCCCCCCCACCCCCCCACCCCATCTCCCCCATCCTGCCCGCAGAGGATGAGCCCCATGGTGGGCGAGGCGGAGCGGGAGGCGAGGCCGCCGCGGGAGAAGAGAGCGTCGCAGCTCCTCGTCTCCTGCCTGGGCTTCAACCTCGCCGTGCAGGCCTGCTTCTCCGACAGCGGAGGCGTCAAGAGCAACGTACGGATCACCCAAAATAACAAAAAAAAAACAAAGAAACTTGTATATGATGTAAAAAAAGATTTAAAATAACAAAATTGCGCCATTGGCAAGACCAGCACGAGAGGGACGCAGCAACGCGGAGAGTTGTGGTTCTAACCCCGCGGACCGCCCCCCCTGTCGCCCCCCACGGCTTACACGCTGCGGAGCGCGAGAACAAGCACAGCGGGACGCTCAAGAAGTGGGACTGCGTGCGCCGGCGTCATCGTCCACGTTTGCCGAATTTAGTAACGGAAAAAATAACTCCTGAATTATGTAATTGGGAAGGGAAAAAAAATGACAGCATTGACCCCCGCCCGCCCGCCCGCCTACTGGCAGGCTTATGTCCACCTGCAGGCCACCGCTGTTTACGACCTGTCGCTCACGATCCATGGGCAGATAGCGCCACGTGGGTGTCCACTGCACATTTCGTCATTTGCTTCTACTTTCCTCTGCCTTTGCGCCGAATATGGCTCAAGTAGTGGGCGCATCTTTCTGGCACCAATCTCCGTTAGGTCTTCGTCAAGCCGTTCCCCGTTAGGTCTTCGTCAAGCTGTTCTCTGTTAAGTCTTCGTCAAGTCGTTCTCTGTTAGGTCTTCGTCAAGTCGTTCTCTGTTAGGTCTTCGTCAAGTCGTTCTCTGTTAGGTCTTCGTCAAGCTGTTCTCTGTTAAGTCTTCGTCAAGTCGTTCTCTGTTAGGTCTTCGTCAAGTCGTTCTCTGTTAAGTCTTCGTCAAGTCGTTCTCTGTTAGGTCTTCGTCAAGTCGTTCTCTGTTAAGTCTTCGTCAAGTCGTTCTCTGTTAGGTGTTCGTCAAGTCGTTCTCTGTTAGGTCTTCGTCAAGTCGTTCTCTGTTAAGTCTTCGTCAAGTCGTTCTCTGTTAGGTCTTCGTCAAGTCGTTCCCCGTTAAGTCTTCGTCAAGTCGTTCTCTGTTAGGTCTTCGTCAAGTCGTTCTCTGTTAGGTCTTCGTCAAGTCGTTCCCCGTTAAGTCTTCGTCAAGTCGTTCTCTGTTAAGTCTTCGTCAAGTCGTTCTCTGTTAGGTCTTCGTCAAGTCGTTCTCTGTTAGGTCTTCGTCAAGTCGTTCTCTGTTAAGTCTTCGTCAAGTCGTTCTCTGTTAGGTCTTCGTCAAGTCGTTCTCTGTTAGGTCTTCGTCAAGTCGTTCTCTGTTAAGTCTTCTTCAAGCCGTTCTCTGTTAGGTCTTCGTCAAGTCGTTCTCTGTTAGGTCTTCGTCAAGTCGTTCCCCGTTAGGTCTTCGTCAAGTCGTTCTCTGTTAGGTCTTCGTCTCTTTCCGGTTCTTTACATTTTGTCCGAACAACAACAACAACACACTTAAATTTTTTCTGTTGTTGTCCACCCTACATGTGTCCAAATAGTGTCAGCTTCCTTCTCATCACCGCCTGCAGCATCAGGTTGTCTTCTTCTATGTGCGACCGGAACGCCATGGTTATTCTAATTTTGTTATTATTATTATTATTCTCATTTTTATTATTTTTATTCTACGTGACTTTACCGAAAGAACCAAAGAATATGAATTCCTGCAGTCGCGAAAGTTTTAAGTCAAAACTTTTTCTAACTTCGTCGTTGGTCACTCATTGGCTAGTTTAGTACAGGATTAAGTAAAACTGAAACGAATATATATTTTTTATTTTACCAGGTGAGGCCCACTGAGCTATGTAGCTCTATTCATGAAGCGACCTGGCCACAAATGATAGCTCAGATAAGTGGCTAATCGTGTGGAAATGAATAGCAGCCAAATACTCTAAATGCACGTTCATTCTAAATGTGGAGGGAAAAACCGGAGCATCCGGAGAAAAAATCCACACGCCCACGGGCAGAGATAGAGAGAGAACACGCAAACTCCAAACATACAGCAGGCGTCAGGATCGGGATCGAACTCACGACCTCCTGCATACGGGGCGAGGTAGTTAACATCTCGCCCCCGCCGGTGCCCCTCAGGTGGAGCCGTTCTTCATCACGCTGGCCCTGTACGACCTTCGCACGGCGAGGAAGATCTCGGCCGACTTCCACGCCGACCTCAACCCCCCGTCCATGCGGGAGCTGCTGGGCGGCGGCGCTTCGCCCGAGGTGCAGGCCAACGGCGACGTGCCGACGGGCGCCGGCGGCCAGGCCCAGCGGCCCGGGGAGCCTGCCCCGCCTAGCCTGCCCACCGAGGCGCTGCTGTACCCCACTCAGGCGAGTTTGGGCTCGCGGGGAGAGCACCGGTGATATGTGTACGTGTAATGCGTGTGTGTGTGTGTAACGTGTCTTTGTGTATGAGTGCGCGTGTGTGTCTGTTGTGGGGAGCGGTAGTGTAGCGGCTAGCACGCTCCGCTACGTCCCGGCGACCCGAGTTCAATTCCCGCTCACGGCCGACACCGGTGACGATTATCTGAAAAGCTCTTGGGTCTCCGATACGATGGCTCTGCCTCAAACGAGTACCTGGTGCGGTGTGTAAACATGTTGTCGATAGGTGGAGACTAATCCAGCGAGCGACTGGAGGGAATCGGTGAGGTCTGGTTCGTGATCGACCCTGGCCGGTTCACTCTTGAGCCCTGTCGGGTATGGCCATCGCCACTGGGAAGACAAAGGCGGTTTGGGCGTGGTGCTGGCCACCCACCCCTTCGTGTCCCGTGCAAGCCTTCGTAGGTTCTCACTAACAATACTTGCCCCAACAGTCTGCTCAGCCTATACGGGGGATATTTGTCTGTGTGTGTGTGTAATATGTGTGCGTGTAACGTGTATGTGTAATGTGTATGTGTAATTCACGCGTGTGTGCAATGTGTGTGTGTAATGTGGGTGTGTAATGTGTGTGTGTGTAACGTGTGTGTGTGTAACGTGTGTGTGTGTAACGTGTGTGTGTAACGTGTGTGTGTGTGTAACGTGTGTGTGTGTAACGTGTGCGTGTGTAACGTGCGCGTGTGTGCAACGCGTGCGTGTGTGTGTAACGTGTGTGTGTAACGTGTGTGTGTAACGCACGCGTGTGTGTGTAACGTGTGTGTGTGTGTAACGCGCGCGTGTGTGTGTAACGTGTGTGTGTGTGTGTAACGCGCGCGTGTGTGTGTAACGTGCGTGTGTGTAACGTGTGTGTGTAACGTGTGTGTGTAACGTGTGTGTGTAACGCGCGCGTGTGTGTGTAACGTGCGTGTGTGTACCGTGCGTGTGTGTGTAATGCGCGCGTGTGTATGTAACGTGCGTGTGTGTGTAACGCGCGCGTGTGTGTGTAACGTGTGTGTGTGTGTAACGCACGCGTGTGTGTGTGCGTGCCCTGCAGGCCGTGTTCACGGTGTGCGACCCGCACCCGGACGTGCTGCTGCTCGTGCGCGTGGAGAAGGTGCTGCAGGGCAGCGTGGCGCAGTGCACCGAGCCGTACCTCCGCGCCGACGACACGGGCAAGGTGGTGACCCGGCCCCTCCCCCGCTCCACACCCCGACCCCGCCGGGCACGCTGCGCCATCTCTCAAACACTTTTTGTTTACTTTGCCGACGACGACGACACTGGCGTCGTCGTCGTCGTCGTCGTCGGAGGAGGAGGAGGAGGAGGGGCAACCCCACGCGGTTCGCTCGCACTGCGCCGGGAGGTCAAACCACACCGGGTGAATTCTGGACGGCAAGTCTGGTGTGCTGTGTTTGTGTGTGCTGTGTGTGAGCTGTGTGTGTTTGCTATATGGGGCCAGGTTGCTTCTGAAAAAGAGCTACAGTATAGCTCAGTGGGGCCTTACCTGGTAAAATAAACAAGTTTCATAGTTTATTTTGTTAAAGTGGATGCACCATCCTCTCCCTCTTACCCCCACCCCCTGCCCGTCCAGGTTGCACAGAAGTTGGTGAAGCAAATGCGGCAGTACTGTGGCCGTATGGGCCAGTATCACATGCCATTCTGCTGGGCGTTCAGGTGCGCTCACAAGCACACACACTCGTACCATCCTCATAACCGCCATCATCATCATCATCATCGTCAACGTCATAATTGTCATCATCAAGACGGTCATTGCATTGCACGCTTTCAGGTGCGCCTCTGCGGCCGTCTGGAATGCTCCTCCCTCTGATATTAGGAAACCATTGGGAGCAATTTACTTTTAAATTATCTGGATTGAAAACGAATTCATTTAGAGCTGCTTTTTTTTCATTTTGGTTAGTTGTCCTTCCCCCGCACCTCCGATTAGCACGGTCGGCTACGCCCGGCGCGACAAAAGTTCGACACGCGCACGTCACCACCGCCGTCGCCGCGGCCTCGCGTCACCGTGCCCGCCCCCTCCGTCTCCCCCACCTCCTCTCCCCGCGTGCGCGCGCCGCAGGCCTCTCTTCCGCGACGTCAACGGGGCGCTGGACAAGGGCGCCTCCTTCTCCCCGCTCTTCCGCCAGGATGGGGGCAGGACGTCGAGCGAGGACTGGCTCCGCGCGCTCGTCGACGTGCACAAGTACGCGCCGCGGAGGGGGGCGCCGCCGTCGCCGCCGCCGCCGCGTGCCGCGGCTTGTGGAGAGGCGCCCCCAGCGCGGTGCCGCGGCGCTCACCGGCCCAGAGCCGCCGACCGCTTAGTTGGCCGTTGGGTACCTGTGCGGGTCGATGGGTCTCTGCGCTAGTCCCCATGAGTCTTTCAGTTTTCAGTTTCATTTATTAGGTATAACTGCCGTGAGCCATGCGGCTCTTGACTTCGGGTGCAACCGCGACAAGACTGAAACGTGAACAAGAAAACACCTTAAAGTGACTTACACGCAGCAGATATAAATCCTGGGAAAAAAAACCCAGCAAAGTCTTCCAGAAGAAACAACGCATTTCAACGCTGTGTGCAAAAAATACCAGTGGGATGCAAGTCAAACAATAACAACCATAAGGCAATGTAGATTAAAGTTATCAGGCCAACTCTGTACTACAACAAACAAACATGGCCAGACCAAACCGTCCTCAAAATCACCAAAATAAGTCTTCACGTGAGTCTATGAGTCTCCACATGAATCTGAGTTTCCACATGAATCTGAGTCTCCACGTGGGTTCGATCCCGACCCTGATGCCTGTTAGATATTTGGAGTTTGCATGTCTCTTTTCCCCGTGGGTCCTGTGGATTTTTCTCTGGGTCCCTACGATTTTCCCTCCGCATTTAGAATGGACGTGCGTTCAGAGTATTTGGCTGCTATACATTTCCCCATCACAAGCAACTTCGTTGACCTATCATTTGTGGCCACGTCACTTCTAAAAAAAAGAGCAGTGGGGCCTGCCGTACCTGGTAAAATAAATAAAAAAACAGTTTAGTTATTTTTTAAATAAATAGGTATAGAATGTCTTCCCCCGAAATCGCGAAAAGGAAATTCCCAGTTGTTTTCCAACGAAGGTGAAAAGCGCCGATGCCTTGGCTCCGTCCGTCTCTCAAAAATGGATGAAGGAGCGACGCTCGCAATATTGAGCGGAGCGTGAGTGGATGATCAATACGTGCGGCGGGGTGGCACAGCGGGCAGCACGGGTGATGCATACGCCCGTCATCTCAGACAGTCATCTCAGACAGAACCCCCCTCCTACCAGCAGCGAGCTTTTCACACTCCACGTGGCCTCAAAGTGCACCTAGCTTGGCACAGGTGCTGCGGTGACTTGAACATCGCTTAGGGGACGAGTGGCGGCTGTTTGTGTTGTTGTGCATGCTTTTGCGTCCTCGGCTTATGTCATTTTTGTGATGCGATTGCATGCCGGTGTTGCGTCTATGTACGTATGTGCGCACACGTGAATGTGCCTAGAGAGAGTGCGATTGTGTTCTGCGTGTGTTGTTGGTGGGGAGCGGCAGTGTCGCGGTTAGCGCTACGCTGCGCTACAAAGCCGGCGACCCGAGTTCAATTCCCGCTCACTGCCAACACCAGTGACGATCATCTGAACCGGTCCTGGGCCTCCCCTAGGTCGGCTCAGCCTCAAACGAGTACCTTGTGCGATGTGTAAACATCGCCACTCGGGAGACAAAGGCGGCCGGGCGTGGTGCTGGCCACCCACCCCCCTCGCGTGTCGTGCCGGCCTTCATCGTGACTCGCTAACAGCACTTGCCCCAACAGTCTGTTAAAGCTATGCGGGGGATCTTTGCCTTTGTTCTGCGTGTGTTGTCTGCAGGTCAGAAAAAATGTCAAAACTTCAAACGATTCCAGGCAGCATCAAAATTACTGTGGAGAGTCTGCCGGCAGAACAGCCCAGTAAGACCTGCCTTCAAATGCATCCATATCACACTTGTTTAAGCTTAATTTGGTTTCGTTACACGGGGGGGGGGGGGTCCTGATTTGCCAGTTTCCCGGCACATTTTAAACGGGAGACGTACGGACGTATGTTGAACTTCTTTCGCACCGTATGTAGCCAACCGTGCTATGTGTGTTGAACTTTTTTTGCACCGTACGTAGCCAACCGTGCTTTGTGCAGTGAGGGAAACAAGTATTTTATCCCCTGCTGATTTTGTGCGTTTGCCCACTGACAAAGAATTGATCAGTCTATAATTTTAATGGTAGGTTTATTTGAACAGTGAGAGACAGAATAACAACAACAAAATCCAGAAAAACGCACGTCAAAAATGTTATAAATTGATTTTCATTTTAATGAGGGAAATAAGTATTAGACCCCTCTGCAAAACATGACTTAGTACTTGGTGACAAAACCCTTGTTGGCAATCACAGAGGTCAGACGTTTCTTGTAGTTTGCCACCAGGTTTGCACACATCTCAGGAGGGATTTTGTCCCACTCCTCTTTGCAGATCTTCTCCAAGTCATTAAGGTTTCGAGGCTGACGTTTGGCAACTCGAACCTTCAGCTCCCTCCACATATTTTCTATGGGATTAAGGTCTGGAGACTGGCTAGGCCACTCCAGGACCTTAATGTGCTTCTTCTTGAGCCACTCCTTTGTTGCCTTGGCCGTGTGTTTTGGGTCATTGTCATGCTCGAATACCCATCCACGACCCATTTTCAATGCCCTGGCTGAGGGAAGGAGGTTCTCACCCAAGATTTGACGGTACATGGCCCCGTCCATCGTCCCTTTGATGCGGTGAAGTTGTCCTGTCCCCTTAGCAGAAAAACACCCCCAAAGCATAATGTTTCCACCTCCATGTTTGACGGTGGGGATGGTGTTCTTGGGGTCATAGGCAGCATTCTTCCTCCTCCAAACACGGCGAGTTGAGTTGATGCCAAAGAGCTCCATTTTGCTCTCATCTGACCACAACACTTTCACCCAGTTGTTCTCTGAATCATTCAGATGTTCATTGGCAAACTTCAGACGGGCATGTATGTGCTTTCTTGAGCAGGGGGACCTTGCGGGTGCTGCAGGATTTCAGTCCTTCACGGCGTAGTGTGCTACCAATTGTTTTCTTGGTGACTATGGTCCCAGCTGCCTTGAGATCATTGACAAGATACTCCCTTGTAGTTCTGGGCTGATTCCTCACCGTTCTCATGATCATTGCAACTCCACAAGGTGAGATCTTGCATGGAGCCCCAGGCCGAGGGAGATTGACAGTTCTTTTGTGTTTCTTCCATTTGCGAGTAATCGCACCTACTGTTTGTCACCTTCTCACCAAGCTGCTTGGCAATGGTCTTGTAGCCCATTCCAGCCTTGTGTAGGTCTACAATCTTGTCCCTGACATTCTTGGAGAGCTATTTGGTCTTGGCCATGGTGGAGAGTTGGGAATCTGATTGATTGATTGGTTCTGTGGACAGGTGTCTTTTATACAGGTAACAAGCTGAGATTAGGAGCACTCCCTTTAAGAGTGTGCTCTTAATCTCAGCTCGTTACCTGTATAAAAGACACCTGGGAGCCAGAAATCTTTCTGATTGAGAGGGGGTCAAATACTTATTTCCCTCATTAAAATGCAAATCAATTTATAAAATTTTTGACATGCGTTTTTCTGGATATGGTTGTTGTTATTCTGTCTCTCACTGTTCAAATAAACCTACCATTAAAATTATAGACTGATCATTTCTTTGTCAGTGGGCAAACGTACAAAATCAGCAGGAGATCAAATACTTTTTTGCATCACTGTATATTGAAATTATTTCACACCGTACGTAGCCAACCGTGCTATGTGTGTTGAACTTCTTTCGCACCGTACGTCTCCCCTAGTGGCGATGTATCCACACCGCACCACGTACTTATTTGAGGCTGAGTCGACCTCGGGTCGGCCATAGAACCGGTTCAGATATTTGTCACCAATGTTGGTCGTGAGCGGGAATCGAACGCGGATCGCCGGGTTTGTAGCGCAGCGGCGCGCTAACTGCTGCTGCACTACCGCTCCCCCACCCCCCCTAGTCTAGCAGTGACATGACCTCACGCGAATCCAAATAGACAGCGCAGACATGTGGGAGCAAGGGGTGCTGGAAGACGTTTAGGTGCAGGTGCAAGTAGGCGCTGTGTTTTGGATAAAGAAGAGGGGGAGCGAAGGTAACGAAGAGGGAGAGTGAAGGTGAGCGGGTGACGGTGTTCCAGAAACGTGAAGCAGCAGTAACGAGGACAGTCCGAACGTAAACACATTTACAACCGTGTTTTCCAAACCAGCCGCATATGCCGAGTTTGTACGGATAGTAGGTGGCAAGATGTTAACTCTCTCGCCTGGTGTACAGGAGGTCGTGGGTTCGATCTCGACCCAAATGCCTGCTGTATATTTGGAGTTTGCGTTTCTGTCCCAGTGGCCGCGAGTATTTTTCTCCGGGTCCTCCGGTTTTACCCTCCACATTTAGAATGAATGTGCATTTAGAGTATTTGTCTGCCGTAAATGTCCACGTGATAGGCCACTTCATTGAGCTATAATTTGTGGTCAGGTCGCTTTTGGAAAAGAGCTCAGTGGGCCTTAGCTAGTAAAATAAAATAGTTGAGTTTTAGTTTAGTTTAGATCGCGATGATATAGCTGACAATGACAACGACAACGATGCCACGGCCCGATGTCTGGTCCCTCAGACATGCTGACACCGGGGCTGTCGCCCGTCACGGCCGGGTGGCGTCTGTCGGAGACCGCCAACAACGGCGGCAGCAGAGGCGGCGTCGGGAAGCGGCCGTGCGTGCGGGAGGTGGACGACTTCCCGGCGGAGACAGCGCGGCACGCTCACCCGTACTCGGAGTACGCCAACCGCCTCTACGTGTACCCGCAGCGACTCAAGTACGACGCGCAGAAGATATTCCCCAAGGTGAGCCCCGCTCCGGCGGCGCGCGACTGCCACCGCCGACGACTCGTTCGGAGCGGCCCTGCGGAGACCGCGTCGCCGCACGGGACCCCAGGCACCTCCTCCTCCTCCGCGCGCTAGACAGCCCGTGCCACCTTCAATGTCAAGATCTCGCTCGCCGTCTTTCAAGATCCTCCATAAGCTCCACTCTGCTACCTCTCCCCTCCTCTCTCATCTCGCTCTAACTCCACTGCACGCACTCTCCTACCTCGCCACTCTTGATGAGGCTCACGGGAAGCTGGTGGGGGGGGGGGGGGGGGGCTCACGGGAAGGGGGGAGGGGGGTGCTCGCGGGATTGGAGCTGCCGCTGTCTAACCCTGTGACCGTGCCGACGCGCAGGCGAGGAACATCGCCATTCACGTGGAGTTCCGGGACTCGGACGAAGAAGGAACACTGCCGCTCAAGGTGCGATCGTCCCCCCCCCCGCCCCCCGACACCCTCCCACCGCCCACCCCCGTCACCCGCGACCGTGGTGGCGTCACCGCATTCACGCGCGGCGGCGGTGACCGCGGGCAGCGCGACGCAACCCCAAACCCGAGAGAACAGCACCAATTCTCTCGTAGGTACCGGCCTTGCCAGGGTTCTTCCTCATAGGCCCGACGAAGCAGATGAGGGCAATCTTGATTTGCCGATCTCTCCGGTGCTGCCGCGGGGTCCACTTTCTGCCCCGCCCCCTCTCTCCCCCCACCTCCTCGCTCTCCCCCCCCCTACTGCCGAGGCCTACACTCTATAAACTCGTGCCACGGCAGATCTCTCGCCTACTTCAGCAGTTTGTCCTTGCTGTGGTTGTCCCACCTGATGGCGATTTGCTTGTGTTGCGATCGAAACGTCGTGATGTGTTGTTTTTCTACCAACGTGATTTTACCGAAAGAACCATAGAGTCTCGTAAAAGTAGCGGTGGATTTGATGCTGCTGCTGCTGCTGCTGTGTATGCGTGAAGTGAGGATGCAATGGCAAATGATCGGAGGGGCCACGGAGAAGCCCTGTCTCGAACATGCTAAACAACAACAACAATAATAATAGCAACAACAGCAAATACAAATAATCACAGAATGTTGAACTTCTTTCGCGCCATGCATAGCCAAACCGTGCTGATCGGAGGTTGCCTCAGAGCCGCGGTCGTGGCCACTCCGTCGCTACGCAAGACTCTCGGGCCGTGAGGAATGTGGTGATCCATCCGTGGCCGGCCGCGGTGCGTGAATATTAAACCAAACGATAAACTATTTTTTTTATTTTTGCAGGTAACGGCTTCGCTGAGCTGTAGAGCTCTTTTGTTCAGAAGCAACCCGGCAATCACAACGATAGCTCAAGCGAAGTGGCTTGTCGCTTGTTAATGTATAGCAGCCAAACACTCTTTAAACGAGTGACCTTGATTCTAAATGTGGAGAGAAAAACCGGAGGGACCCGGAGATAAATCCACAAGACCACGGGGAGAGAGAGAGAGACACCGCAAATTCCAAATATACAGCAGCAGCAGGCGCCAGGGTCGGGATCGAACCCACGACCTCCTGTGTACCAGGCGAGGTAGTTAACATCTCACCACGGAATGAGAGAGACACCGCAACCTCCAAATATACAGCAGCAGCAGCAGGCGCCAGGGTCGGGATCGAACCCACAACCTCCTGCGTACCAGGCGAGGTAGTTAACATCTCACCACGGAGTGAGAGAGAGACACCGCAAGCTCCAAATATACAGCAGCAGGCGCCAGGATCGGGATCGAACCCACGACCTCCTGCGTGCCAGGCGAGGGAGTTAACATCTCGCCACCCCGGCGTCTGTGTTTGCGGCGCAGTGCATCTACGGCAAGGCAGGGCAGCCGGCGTTCATCAGCAGCGCCAACACGGCCGTCTTGCACCACCAGCAGTGCCCGGACTTCTGTGACGAGGTCAGTGCTGTCACGCTTGTTCCACCACTGTCGCCCGGAGGGGGAGAGCGGGGTGGGGGGGGGGGCAGGGGGGTAGGGGCGGTGCTGCCTATTTCGCCTTCTCTCGGCCTCCACTATGCTGCTCATCGTCCCCTCTGTCAGCTGTTCTCACGACGCGTCCTGACGTAAAACAGGCGCTCGCTGACTTCACCCGCGGTGCGCCGGGCGGTGCTAACGTTGCGACGGCGTCGTCTCCCTGTGCCCAGGTGAAGGTTGAGCTCCCGGTTCACCTGCACGGCAAGCATCACCTGCTGTTCACCTTCTCGCACATCAGCTGCGACCTGGGCAAGCGTAGGGACACGGCCGAGGCCGAGGGTGAGAGCGCTCGCCCCCTCTACCTCCTCCCCAGTGCTGTGTTAGCACACCGTGTGTCAGTGCCGTGTGCTGTGAGCGCCGTGTGCTGTGAGCGCCATGTGCTGTGTTGTGAGCACCGTGTGTTGTGAGTACCGTGTGTTGTGAGCGCCGTGTGTTGTGAGCACCGTGTGTTGTGAGTACCGTGTGTTGTGAGCGCCGTGTGTTGTGAGCGCCGTGTGTTGTGAGCGCCGTGTGTTGTGAGCGCCGTGTGTTGTGAGCACCGTGTGTTGTGAGCACCGTGTGTTGTGAGCGCCGTGTGTTGTGAGCTCCGTGTGTTGTGAGTACCGTGTGTTGTGAGCGCCGTGTGTTGTGAGCACCGTGTGTTGTGAGCGCCGTGTGTTGTGAGCACCGTGTGTTGTGAGTACCGTGTGTTGTGAGCGCCGTGTGTTGTGAGCGCCGTGTGTTGTGAGCGCCGTGTGTTGTGAGCGCCGTGTGTTGTGAGCACCGTGTGTTGTGAGCGCCGTGTGTTGTGAGCGCCGTGTGTTGTGAGCGCCGTGTGTTGTGAGTACCGTGTGTTGTGAGCGCCGTGTGTTGTGAGCACCGTGTGTTGTGAGCACCGTGTGTTGTGAGCGCCGTGTGTTGTGAGCACCGTGTGTTGTGAGCACCGTGTGTTGTGAGCGCCGTGTGTTGTGAGCACCGTGTGTTGTGAGCGCCGTGTGTTGTGAGTGCCGTGTGTTGTGAGCGCCGTGTGTTGTGAGCACCGTGTGTTGTGAGCACCGTGTGTTGTGAGCGCCGTGTGTTGTGAGCGCCGTGTGTTGTGAGCACCGTGTGTTGTGAGCACCGTGTGTTGTGAGCACCGTGTGTTGTGAGTACCGTGTGTTGTGAGTACCGTGTGTTGTGAGCACCGTGTGCTGTGAGCGCCGTGTGCTGTGTTGTGAGCGCCGTGTGTTGTGTTGTGAGTACCGTGTGTTGTGAGCACCGTGTGTTGTGAGCACCGTGTGTTGTGAGCACCGTGTGTTGTGAGCACCGTGTGTTGTGAGCACCGTGTGTTGTGAGCACCGTGTGTTGTGAGCACCGTGTGTTGTGAGCGTCGTGTGTTGTGAGCACCGTGTGTTGTGAGCGCCGTGTGTTGTGTTGTGAGTACCGTGTGTTGTGAGTACCGTGTGTTGTGAGTACCGTGTGCTGTGAGCACCGTGTGTTGTGAGCACCGTGTGTTGTGAGCGCCGTGTGCTGTGAGCGCCGTGTGTTGTGTTGTGAGCGCCGTGTGCTGTGAGCGCCGTGTGTTGTGAGCACCGTGTGTTGTGAGTACCGTGTGTTGTGAGCGCCGTGTGTTGTGTTGTGAGCACCGTGTGTTGTGAGCGCCGTGTGTTGTGAGCGCCGTGTGCTGTGAGCGCCGTGTGTTGTGAGCGCCGTGTGCTGTGAGCGCCGTGTGTTGTGAGCACCGTGTGTTGTGAGCACCGTGTGTTGTGAGCACCGTGTGTTGTGAGCGCCGTGTGTTGTGAGCGCCGTGTGCTGTGCTGTGAGCGCCGTGTGTTGTGAGCGTCGTGTGCTGTGAGCGCCGTGTGTTGTGAGCGCCGTGTGTTGTGAGCGCCGTGTGTTGTGAGCGTCGTGTGCTGTGAGCGCCGTGTGTTGTGAGCACCGTGTGTTGTGAGCGCCGTGTGTTGTGAGCGTCGTGTGCTGTGAGCACCGTGTGTTGTGAGCGCCGTGTGTTGTGAGTACCGTGTGTTGTGAGTACCGTGTGTTGTGAGTACCGTGTGTTGTGAGTACCGTGTGTTGTGAGTACCGTGTGTTGTGAGCACCGTGTGCTGTGAGCACCGTGTGTTGTGAGCGTCGTGTGTTGTGTTGTGAGTACCGTGTGTTGTGAGCACCGTGTGTTGTGAGCGCCGTGTGTTGTGTTGTGAGCGCCGTGTGTTGTGAGCGCCGTGTGCTGTGAGCGCCGTGTGTTGTGAGCACCGTGTGTTGTGAGCACCGTGTGCTGTGAGCGCCGTGTGCTGTGTTGTGAGCGCCGTGTGTTGTGAGTACCGTGTGTTGTGAGCACCGTGTGTTGTGAGCACCGTGTGTTGTGAGCACCGTGTGTTGTGAGCACCGTGTGTTGTGAGCGTCGTGTGTTGTGAGCACCGTGTGTTGTGAGCGCCGTGTGTTGTGAGCACCGTGTGTTGTGAGCGCCGTATGTTGTGAGCACCGTGTGTTGTGAGCACCGTGTGTTGTGAGCACCGTGTGTTGTGAGCACCGTGTGTTGTGTTGTGAGCGCCGTGTGTTGTGAGCACCGTGTGTTGTGAGCACCGTGTGTTGTGAGCACCGTGTGTTGTGTTGTGAGCGCCGTGTGTTGTGAGCACCGTGTGTTGTGAGCACCGTGTGTTGTGAGCGCCGTGTGCTGTGCTGTGAGCGCCGTGTGTTGTGAGCGTCGTGTGCTGTGAGCGCCGTGTGTTGTGAGCGTCGTGTGCTGTGAGCGCCGTGTGTTGTGAGCGCCGTGTGTTGTGAGCGCCGTGTGTTGTGAGCGTCGTGTGCTGTGAGCGCCGTGTGTTGTGAGCGCCGTGTGTTGTGAGCGCCGTGTGCTGTAAGCACCGTGTGTTGTGAGCGCCGTGTGCTGTAAGCACCGTGTGTTGTGAGCACCGTGTGTGCGCCCGCCCCCCCCGTGTGCTGTGCCACAGTGGGCTATGCGTGGCTGCCGTTGCTGCGCGAGGGCCGCGTGCGGACCGGCGTCTCCCAGCTCGCCGTGAGCGCCACGCTGCCCGCCGAGTACCTCTCCTGCCAGAACATCGGCCTCGGCAAGGTAGCGCTTCCCCCACGACATTACCCCCCTCCTCTCACCCTCCCCTCCCTCCACCGTCCTCCAACAGCTGTGGGCAGTGTTGAGTCTATGGGCAGTGCTGAGTTTATGGGCAGTGTTGAGTCTATGGGTAGTGTTGAGTCTATGGACAGTGTTGAGTCTATGGGCAGTGCTGAGTTTATGGGTAGTGTTGAGTCTATGGACAGTGTTGAGTCTATGGGCAGTGCTGAGTTTATGGGCAGTGTTGAGTCTATGGGTAGTGTTGAGTCTATGGGCAGTGTTGAGTCTGTGGGCAGTGTTAAGTCTATGGGCAGTGCTGAGTTAATGGGCAGTGTTGAGTCAATGAGCAGTGTTGAGTCTACGGGCAGTGCTGAGTCTATGGCCAGTGTTGAGTCTATGGGCAGTGTTGAGTCTATGGGCAGTGCTGAGTCTATGGGCAGTGTTGAGTCTATGGGCAGTGTTGAGTCTATGGGCAGTGCTGAGTTTATGGGCAGTGTTGAGTCTATGGGCAGTGTTGAGTCTATGGGCAGTGCTGAGTTTATGGGCAGTGTTGAGTCTATGGGCAGTATACTCTTTGGTTCTATTCGGTAAAGTCACGTAGGTAAAAAATAAAACAACAAAAATCACGACGTTTCGGCCACAACACAAGTGGCCTTCATCAGGTGAAGGGACCGTGCTGTCACGAAGATAGCGTTGGAATTAAGAAAGTCAAGCCAGGTCGCATCCTTTAAGCTGTGTGGGAGGAAACCAAACGCTTTGACAAAGCTTCAAATCTAGAATCTATGGGCAGTACTGAGTCTATGTGCAGTGTTGAGTCTATGGGCAGTGTTGAGTCTGTGGGCAGTGTTAAGTCTATGGGCAGTGCTGAGTTAATGGGCAGTGTTGAGTCAATGAGCAGTGTTGAGTCTACGGGCAGTGCTGAGTCTATGGCCAGTGTTGAGTCTATGGGCAGTGTTGAGTCTATGGGCAGTGCTGAGTCTATGGGCAGTGTTGAGTCTATGGGCAGTGTTGAGTCTATGAGCAGGGTTGAGTCTATGGACAGTGTTGAGTCTATGGGCAGTGTTGAGTCTAGGGGCAGTGTTGAGTTTATGGGCATTATTGAGTTTATGGGCAGTGTTGAGTCTGTGGTGCATTTTTGAGTCTCTGGGCAGTGCTGCTCAATGTACAGGGGAAGTTGATTCCAGTGGAGGGGTGCAAGGAGGGACATATATTGTATGTGTTGGATATTAAACTCTTGGCTGCCATAACCAGACAGCTGGAGAGATGACTTATGCACTACAATGCCAGGCATCATATCCAAAGGAACAAGCACACATAACGATGAGCTCAACATGAGCGGAGCGCCGGGCGGATAAAATGCATAGAGTTGGCACAGTGGGGAGCGCAGGCGATTCATCTGCCGGTCATCTCAGTCAGTCAACCCATGGCGCCCGGTTCTGGCCCGTGACCTCCTGCCAGCAGAGAGCTGTTCCACACTTCCCGTGGCCTCAGAGCGCACCCAGCCTGGCACGAGCGTCGTGGTGACGGCTGTTGTTGTTGTCGTCGTTGTGTCGCTGTCTCTGTGCAGTTTGTGGGCCCGGAGGTGAAGTGGGTGGAGGGAGGGAAGAGGCTCCTCACTGTGAGCACGCACCTCGTTTCCAGCATCTACACCAAGGTATGGCCACGCTCGGGGCTCACGCACTTCCCTGCCGCGCATGCGGCAGTCCACACTTTAATTCGGACGTATAGGCGGCCTCGCGAATGCCTTAGCGCTGTTTAAGTTACAGTAAACACCTTCCTAGCCCTTTTTTTAATCCCCGGCACCTCCGATTAGCGAGGTTGGCTATGTACAATGCGAAAGAAGTTCGACATACATACAACATGCGTACATAGGCATCCAACAAAGACGGTAACCGTATCGCGCGCTTTCAGATGCACTTCTGCGGCCGTCTGGCATGCCCTTCCTTCCGATATTAGGAAGCAACTGGAGCTATGCAGTTTTAAATCATCTAGATTGAAAACTCATTTAATTAGAATTGTTCTGCTTCGTTTGCTATCCTTCCCCTGCAGAACCAATTCAGATGATCGTCACTGGTGTTGGCTGTGAGCGGGAATCGAATTCGGGTCGCCGTGTTCGTAGCGCACATGCACACACACACACATTGTGCACGTACGGTAACCGACGATGGTGTCTGCGTGCACAGGATCAATATCTTCACAACTTCATGCAGCAGTGCGAGTTCACCAAGTACGGCACGCTCACCGCGCCCAGAGACCTGCTCAACTCCATAAAGGTGCGTGTTACGCACGCACAGACGCACGCACGCATGCACGCGCGTCCCCCGTGCAGCGTTATGGACTGCCGAGGGGAAAGGCATACTGGCCAGAGCCTATCGAGGCCTTGCATGGGCACACCGGCGTGTAGCTAGCGGGCCTATCGAGGCCTTGCATGGGCACACCGGGGTGTAGCTAGCGGGCCAATCGAGGCCTTGCATGGGCACACCGGGGTGTGGCTAGCGGGCCTATCGAGGCCTTGCATGGGCACACCGGGGTGTAGCTAGCGGGCCTATCGAGGCCTTGCATGGGCACACCGGGGTGTGGCTAGCGGGCCTATCGAGGCCTTGCATGGGCACACCGGGGTGTAGCTAGCGGGCCTATCGAGGCCTTGCATGGGCACACCGGGGTGTGGCTAGCGGGCCTATCGAGGCCTTGCATGGGCACACCGGGGTGTAGCTAGCGGGCCTATCGAGGCCTTGCATGGGCACACCGGGGTGTGGCTAGCGGGCCTATCGAGGCCTTGCATGGGCACACCGGGGTGTGGCTAGCGGGCCTATCGAGGCCTTGCATGGGCACACCGGGGTGTGGCTAGCGGGCCTATCGAGGCCTTGCATGGGCACACCGGGGTGTGGCTAGCGGGCCTATCGAGGCCTTGCATGGGCACACCGGGGTGTGGCTAGCGGGCCTATCGTGGCCTTGCATGGGCACACCAGGGTGTGGCTAGTGGGCCTATCGAGGCCTTGCATGGGCACACCGAGGTGTAACTAGGGGGCCTATCGAGGCCTTGCATGGGCACACCGGGGTGTGGCTAGCGGGCCTATCGAGGCCTTGTATGGGCACACCGGGGTGTGGCTAGGGGCCTATTGAGGCCTTGTATGGGCACACCGGGGTGTAGCTAGGGGCCTATTGAGGCCTTGTATGGGCACACTGAGGTGTAACTAGGGGGCCTATCGAGGCCTTGCATGGGCACACCGGGGTGTGGCTAGCGGGCCTATCGAGGCCTTGCATGGGCACACCGGGGTGTGGCTAGGGGCCTATTGAGGCCTTGTATGGGCACACCGGGGTGTAGCTAGGGGCCTATCGAGGCCTTGTATGGGCACACTGAGGTGTAACTAGGGGGCCTATCGAGGCCTTGCATGGGCACACCGGGGTGTGGCTAGCGGGCCTATCGAGGCCTTGCATGGGCACACCGGGGTGTGGCTAGGGGCCTATCGAGGCCTTGCATGGGCACACCGGGGTGTAGCTAGGGGCCTATTGAAGCCTTGTATGGGCACACCGGGGTGTGGCTAGGGGCCTATCGAGGCCTTGCATGGGCACACTGAGGTGTAACTAGGGGGCCTATCGAGGCCTTGTATGGGCACACCGGGGTGTGGCTAGGGGCCTATCGAGGCCTTCGTGGTGCAGGCAGCACCGCACCTGCTCATTGTCGTCTCCCGTGGTGCCGATTATTGAAATTCACGCCGGGTCCTCATTGAAGGCCGAGCTGACGGAGCAGGGGGTCCAAAGGCTGGTTGAGATATCATTCACCTGCCACTGACGTTGGCCGCGGCCAGGGATGGAACTCGTTTGGCCCGGGTTCGCAGCGTGGCTGGTGGTAATTTGTGGAGATGTTGGAGATGTCGGATGGTGCGGTGATGTTGCGATCTCTCCCCTCACCTCCCCACTGCTCTGCCCTCACCTCACTTGCTCCTCTCAGAGCCTCAACGCCATCGAAGGCCATGCCATGATCAGCTTCATGCCCACGTTGCTCACACAGCTCTTCCGCTTGCTCACGCTCACCGCCCAGGAGGAGATTCTGCTCACCACCACCAGGTTCCTCAGCAATGGGCCACTCACCTACACTGAGTCACTCGGTAATGGGCTTCTCGTCGATGGGCCATTGATTTTCACTGGACCACTCAGTAATGAGTCACTCGGTAATGGGTCACTCAGTCATGGGTTACTCAGTAATGGGTCACTCAGTAATGGGTCACTCAGTCATGGGTTACTCAGTAATGGGCCACTCGGTAATGGGCCACTCGGTAATGGGCCACTCAGTAATGGGCCACTCAGTAATAGGTCACTCAATAATGGGTCACTCGGTAATGGGCCGCTCAGTAATGGGCCACTCGGTAATGGGTCACTCGGTAATAGGTCACTCAATAATGGGTCACTCAGTAATGAGTCACTCAGTAATGGGTCACTCAGTAATGGGCCACTCGGTAATGGGCCACTCAGTAATGGGCCACTCAGTAATAGGTCACTCAGTAATGGGCCACTCAGTAATGGGTGTGTGTGCCGCGTTTGTGTGTACCGCATGTGTGTGTGACACGTGTGTGTGCCGTGTGTGTGTGACACGTGTGCTGTGTGTGTGTGTGCCGTGTGTGTGTGACATGTGTGTGTGTGCTGTGTGTGTGTGTGACACGTGTGCTGTGTGTGACACGTGTGTGTGTGCTGTGTGTGCCACGTGTGTGTGTGACACGTGTGTGACACGTGTGTTTGTGCCGTGTGTGTGGTCGCGCAGCTTCCTGGTGCACTTTGTGGACCGGTGCCACGAGGAGGAGCAGGACCACCACCTGCACTCGTACACTCGGGTGAGGATGCGCCTGCCACTCACCGCATGCACAGAAGCCGCGATGGTCGTGATGATGATGATGACTATGGTGATGATAACAATGGTGATGTTTGGTGATGATGATGGTGGCGATGATGGCAATGATGAACACGATAATGGTGGTGATGATGATGATGATGGAGATGATGACGGTGACGATGGCGACGGTGACGGTGACGAGGGTGCCGATGGCCGCGTGCTCGCAGTACGTGTTCAAGGCGGAGCCGTGGCGCGAAGAGAGCGGCCGCACGGTGCACGAGGAGCTCGTGAGGACCATGGAGCTGCTCCTCGGGTCCTCCGTGGACCAGCAGCTCAACAGCAAGCTGCTGAAGGCACGGTCGCCCACCCACACAAAGTTCCCCCGTGTAGCCTGTAACAGACTGTAGGGGCAAGTGCTGTGAGCGAGTAGCACCTATGAAGGCCGGCACGGCACACGAGGGAGTGGGTGGCCAACACCACGCCCGGCCGCCTTTGTCTCCCCAGTGGCGATGTTTTACACATCGCACCAGGTAGTTATTTGAGGCTGAGTCGACCTAGGGGAGGGCCGGGACCGGTTCAGATAATCGTCACTGTGTGTGTTGGCCGTGAGCGGGAATCGAACCCGGGTGGCCAGGTTCGTAGCGCAGCGTAGCGCTAACAGCTACACTAACGCTCCCCACACACACACCGACACTCGCCAACGCTCACCCACACTCACCCACACTCGCCCACATTCACTCACACTCGCCCACACTCACCCACACTCACCCATACTCGCCCATACTCGCCCACACTCACCCACACTCATCCAAACTCTCCCACACTCGCCCACACTCACCCACACTCGCTCATACTCACCCACACTCACCCACACTCGCTCATACTCACCCACACTCACCCACACTCGCTCATACTCACCCACACTCACCCACACTCGCTCATACTCACCCACACTCACCCACACTCGCTAATACTCACCCACACTCTCCCACACTCACCCACACTCACCCACACTCGCCCACACTCGCCCACACTCGCCCACACTCGCTCATACTCACCCACACTCGCTCATACTCACCCACACTCACCCACACTCGACCACACTCACCCACACTCACCCACACTCGCCCACACTCGCCCACACTCGCCCACACTCACCCACACTCACCCACACTCGCCCACACTCGCCCACACTCACCCACACTCACCCACACTCACCCACACTCGCTCACTGTATCTTACGGTGTTCCTTTTGACTTCTTTCCTCCGTGTCCAACAGCACCTGTGGTTTTTCTTCGGGATCATCAGCAAGTCCATGGCTCAGCACGTCATTGAGAACCAGCGGCTGCCGGTAAGCAGCTGATGAGCTGTCGCACGGTCACACTCCTCATCACCCCTCACTCACCACTCCTCATCACCCCTCACTCACCACTCCTCATCACCCCTCACTCACCACTCCTCATCACCCCTCACTCACCACTCCTCATCACCCCTCACTCACCACTCCTCATCACCCCGTCACTCACCACTCCTCATCACCCCTCACTCACCACTCCTCATCACCCCTCACTCACCACTCCTCATCACCCCTCACTCACCACTCCTCATCACCCCTCACTCACCACTCCTCATCACCCCTCACTCACCACTCATCATCACCCCTCACTCACCACTCCTCATCACCCCTCACTCACCACTCCTCATCACCCCTCACTCACCACTCCTCATCACCCCTCACTCACCACTCCTCATCACCCCTCACTCACCACTCCTCATCACCCCTCACTCACCACTCCTCATCACCCCTCACTCACCACTCCTCATCACCCCTCACTCACCACTCCTCATCACCCCTCACTCACCACTCCTCATCACCCCTCACTCACCACTCCTCATCACCCCTCACTCACCACTCCTCATCACCCCTCACTCACCACTCCTCATCACCCCTCACTCACCACTCCTCATCACCCCTCACTCACCACTCCTCATCACCCCTCACTCACCACTCCTCATCACCCCTCACTCACCACTCCTCATCACCCCTCACTCACCACTCCTCATCACCCCTCACTCACCACTCCTCATCACCCCTCACTCACCACTCCTCATCACCCCTCACTCACCACTCCTCATCACCCCTCACTCACCACTCCTCATCACCCCTCACTCACCACTCCTCATCACCCCTCACTCACCACTCCTCATCACCCCTCACTCACCACTCCTCATCACCCCGCACTCACCCCTCCTCATCACCCCGTCACTCACCACTCCTCATCACCCCGTCACTCACCACTCCTCATCACCCCTCAATCACCACTCCTCATCACCCCTCACTCACCACTCCTCATCACCCCTCACTCACCACTCCTCATCACCCCTCACTCACCACTCCTCATCACCCCTCACTCACCACTCCTCATCACCCCTCACTCACCACTCCTCATCACCCCTCACTCACCACTCCTCATCACCCCTCACTCACCACTCCTCATCACCCCTCACTCACCACTCCTCATCACCCCTCACTCACCACTCCTCATCACCCCTCACTCACCACTCCTCATCACCCCTCACTCACCACTCCTCATCACCCCGTCACTCACCACTCCTCATCACCCCTCACTCACCACTCCTCATCACCCTCACTCACCACTCCTCATCACCCCTCACTCACCACTCCTCATCACCCCTCACTCACCACTCCTCATCACCCCGTCACTCACCCCTCCTCATCACCCCGTCACTCACCACTCCTCAGCACCCCTCAATCACCACTCCTCATCACCCCTCACTCACCACTCCTCATCACCCCTCACTCACCACTCCTCATCACCCCTCACTCACCACTCCTCATCACCCCTCACTCACCACTCCTCATCACCCCTCACTCACCACACCTCATCACCCCTCACACACCACACCTCCTCACCCCTCACTCACCACTCCTCATCACCCCGTCACTCACCACTCCTCATCACCCCGTCACTCACCACTCCTCATCACCACTCAATCACCACTCCTCATCACCCCTCACTCACCACTCCTCATCACCCCTCACTCACCACTCCTCATCACCCCGTCACTCACCACTCCTCATCACCCCTCACTCACCACTCCTCATCACCCCTCACTCACCACTCCTCATCACCCCGCACTCACCACTCCTCATAACCCCTCACTCACCACTCCTCATCACCCCTCACTCACCACTCCTCATCACCCCTCACTCACCACTCCTCATCACCCCTCACTCACCACTCCTCATCACCCCTCACTCACCACTCCTCATCACCCCGTCACTCACCACTCCTCATCACCCCTCACTCACCACTCCTCATCACCCCTCACTCACCACTCCTCATCACCCCTCACTCACCACTCCTCATCACCCCTCACTCACCACTCCTCATCACCCCGTCACTCACCACTCCTCATCACCCCGTCACTCACCACTCCTCATCACCCCTCAATCACCACTCCTCATCACCCCTCACTCACCACTCCTCATCACCCCTCACTCACCACTCCTCATCACCCCTCACTCACCACTCCTCATCACCCCTCACTCACCACTCCTCATCACCCCTCACTCACCACTCCTCATCACCCCTCACTCACCACTCCTCATCACCCCTCACTCACCACTCCTCATCACCCCTCACTCACCACTCCTCATCACCCCTCACTCACCACTCCTCATCACCCCTCACTCACCACTTCTCATCACCCCTCACTCACCACTCCTCATAACCCCCTCACTCACCACTCCTCATCACCCCTCACTCACCACTCCTCATAACCCCTCACCACTCCTCATAACCCCTCACTCACCACTCCTCATCACCCCTCACTCACCACTCCTCATCACCCCTCACTCACCACTCCTCATCACCCCTCACTCACCACTCCACGTAACCCCCTCACTCACCACTCCTCATCACCCCTCACTCACCACTCCACGTAACCCCCTCACTCACCACTCCTCATCACCCCTCACTCACCACTCCACGTAACCCCCTCACTCACCCCCTCAATCACCACTCCTCATCACCCCTCACTCATCACTCATCATCAACCCCTCACTCACCACTCCACGTAACCCCTCACTCACCACTCCACGTAACCCCTCACTCACCACTCATCACCCCTCACTCACCACTCCTCATCACCCCTCACTCACCACTCCACATAACCCCGTCACTCACCACTCCACGTAACCCCCTCACTCACCACTCCTCATAACCCCTCACTCACCATTCATCATCACCCCCTCACTCCGCTACTCTTCGTCCGGCTCAGCCACCCCGATGTGAAAGTCGCGGCTGTTGGTCGACATGAACGTCGCCCACACAAAGACGATCAAGGAGATCCCCACCCCCCCTCATCTCTGCTTTAGGTTCATAGATTATTTAGAGCTTTTGGTTGCTGCTATACATTTCCACGTGGTAAGCCACTTCGTTGAGCTATCAGTGGGCTTTACCTGGTTAAAATATTTATTTTTAAATGTGTTTTGTGATTTGTTTTCGTATGGTTTGTCGTTGTAACGTTCTGACCCCGTGCCCCTACTGGACATCTGTGCGAAAAGAGCCTTCACAGCTCAACGGATTCTTCCCGCGGTATAAATAAACATTCCGATTCTGATTGGATAAACTCGCGGATGTTTGAACCCAGCCTTGAACCTCGAGGTCCTTAACCGCCGGCGGCGGTTCAGCATTTTGCCTCCACCTCGGTGTGGCCCCCCCCCCCCCCGTTATCCTGAGCGAGGCTGCTTCACCGAAACGCCGGAGCCGGTGGCTTGTCTGCCGATCTCGGGATGGCGGTGTTCGGCACCGAACTGTTTTTCCGCACGTGCGTCGCAGCTGAAGCGGAGCGAACGCTTCCCGGCCTCGTTCCACCGCAACCTCGACTCGATGGTGACGCAACTGAGCAAGCACGTGCCGAGGATTCACCGGGACACGGGCGAGGATGCTCGCAGCGCCAACACCAGCCTTGCCACCTTCCTGATGGTCGGTGGCGCTTCCGTGCGTGCGCCCGTTGCCGCGATCTTCGCCGCGTCCCCGTCGTCATCGCTCTGTGCCTTACCGTCATCGTGATCAGTGCCTTCACTGCATCTTCACTGTTTATCCTTCATCATCAACGTCATCATCGCTGCGTCTGCGTCATCTTCGCCGCATCTCCATACCCTCGAAAGGGGCGCTCCCTAGAGCCCCCGTCTGACGTAGGGCACATCCCCGAGCACGTGGCGCGAGCAAGGAATTGCAGGGCTGCACCTTGACCCCGTGGCTGCACCTTGACCCCGTGGCTGCACCTTAACCCCGTGGCTGCACCTTGACCCCGTGGCTGCACCTTGACCCCGTGGCTGCACCTTAACCCCGTGGCTGCACCTTAACCCCGTGGCTGCACCTTGACCCCGTGGCTGCACCTTGACCCCGTGGCTGCACCTTGACCCCGTGGCTGCACCTTGACCCCGTGGCTGCACCTTGACCCCGTGGCTGCACCTTAACCCCGTGGCTGCACCTTGACCCCGTGGCTGCACCTTGACCCCGTGGCTGCACCTTGACCCCGTGGCTGCACCTTAACCCCGTGGCTGCACCTTAACCCCGTGGCTGCACCTTAACCCCGTGGCTGCACCTTAACCCCGTGGCTGCACCTTAACCCCGTGGCTGCACCTTAACCCCGTGGCTGCACCTTAACCCCGTGGCTGCACCTTAACCCCGTGGCTCCGGTTCCGCGGTGACGATCCGAGACCGCTTGTGCCCCCACAGCGCTGCTTCACTCTCATGGACCGGGGATTCGTCTTCCGTCTCATCAACTCCTACATCACGAGCTTCCCCATCATGGACTCCAAGGTGAGACCGTCGCTCCACAACCCCCCCCCTCCCTCTCCCTCCCCCGCCCCCCCCCCCCTCTTCCGCCCCCCCCCCCCCAGCTGACACCGTCCCCGTCGTGTCGTCATCGCAGAGAACGTTCGACTTCCGCATCGAGTTCCTGCAAATCGTGTGCAATTACGAGCACTACGTTGCGCTCAACCTGCCCGTGCACGCGGAGCCTGGCCCAGCGCAGCGCCCACAAGGTGAGGAGGAGCCGGAGCCTCGCGCCTCTCGCTTAAGTGGGGGGCAGGCGTGGGGGGGGGGGGGGGGGAGCGGGGGCATCACGGGTAACGTCCCGCGTCGAAAAACGACCGCGATAACAATCGACTGGATCGTACCCAGCAAGTATCGCAGAACGCGGAGCTTGGGAAATGTTTTAACGACGATACCCATCATCGTTATCCCCGTCACTCCTGTATCCCCCCCATCTCAACCATAATCCCCCACGCCTCCCCCCCCCATTCCCCTCCCCCGCTGCCCCCCCCTCCCCCACGCCCCCCCCTCCCCCCCCCCCAGCGCCGGCTCCGTGGGAGTTCCGCGCGGACGACGACTTCTGCCGGCGCCGCGTGCTGGCCGGGATGCTGCTGCGTGAGGCGGCGGTGGCGGCGGGGGAGACGCTGGGGGGAGAGTCGCGGCGAGCGGCGCTCGGAGTGGTGCGCTCGCTGCTCGCCAAGCACTCGCTAGACGACCGCTACGTGCAGCCCGTGAGTCGGCGCCGTGCCCGCACCGCCCCCCCCCCCCCCCCCCCCCCCCCCCCACTGCCCCCCCCCCCCCCCCCAGGCCCACGCGGCGAGGTTCCGTGTCTCCCGCATTGAAGGTCACCGGGAGGTCGCTGAGCGGCCATGAGTCGCGCTCCAGCTCGTGGGGCTCCTCCCCGCTCGCTCGCACTCGCTATCGCACTCGCTCGCTTTCACACTCGCTCGCTTTCACACTCGCTCGCTCTCACACTCGCTCGCTCTCACACTCGCTCGCACTCGCTATCGCACTCGCTATCGCACTCGCTCTCACACACTCGCTCGCTCTCACACTCGCTCGCTCTCACACTCGCTCGCTCTCACACTCGCTCGCTCTCACACTCACTCGCTCTCACACTCGCTCGCTCTCACACTCGCTCGCTCTCACACTCGCTCGTTCTCACACTCGCTCGCTCTCACACTCGCTCTCACACTCGCTCGCTCTCACACTCGCTCTCACACTCGCTCGCTCTCACACTCGCTCGCTCTCACACTCGCTCGCTCTCACACTTGCTCTCACACTCGCTCACTCTCATACTCGCTCGCTCACCCAGCACGGCACAGGAGTCAACCCATAACACCTGGGTCTGTGTCCGTGACCTCCCGCCAGCAGCGAGAGATGTTTACATGTCACGTGACGGCCTCAAAGTGCACCTAGCCTGGCGCAAGCACTGTGGTGACGTTCCCAATACATAGTTGCGTGCGTGTGCGCGTGCAAACTCAGCGGTGGCGCAGCGGTTAATCCACTGCGCTATCTGAACTTGTTCTGGGCCTCCCCTAGGTCGACTCAGCCTTAAATCAGTACCTGGTTCAGTGTGTAAAATTAAAGGCGGTCAGGCGTGGTGCTGGCCACCCACCCCCCGGTGTGCCGTGCCGGCCTTCATAGGCGCTGCTCGCTGAGCAGCACTTGCACCAACCAGTCCATTAAGGCTACGCGGGTGATCTTTGTCTTTTGCAGGCCCAGCAAGCCCGTGTGGCGATGCTGTACCTGCCGATCCTCTCCATCCTGCACGACAACTACACCCGCATGTGCTTCCAGGCGGTGGTCACCTCCGACAGCAACCCCATCCCACAGCCGGTACCAGCAGCAGCAGCAGCATCGCCACGATTCCTAGAGGTTGGAATCACAGCAGCTTTTGGCTAGCCATTGAGAGTGGGGTGTGGTAGGAGAGTGCGTGGAGGGGAGTAGAGTGAGATGAGAGGGGAGAGGTAGGAGAGTGAGTGGAGGGGAGTAGAGTGAGATGAGAGGGGAGAGGTAGAGTGTGTGGAGGGGAGTGGAGTGAGATGAGAGGGGAGAGGTAGGAGAGTGCGTGGAGGGGAGTAGAGTGAGATGAGAGGGGAGAGGTAGGAGAGTGCGTGGAGGGGAGTAGAGTGAGATGAGAGGGGAGAGGTAGGAGAGTGCATGGAGGGGAGTGGAGTGAGATGAGAGGGGATAGGTAGGGGAGTGAGTGGAGTGAGATGAGAGGGGAGAGGTAGGAGAATATGTGGAGGGGAGTAGAGAGAGATGAGAGGGGAGAGGTAGGGGAGTGAGTGGAGGGGAGTGGAGTGAGATGAGAGGGGAGAGGTAGGAGAATGAGTGGAGGGGAGTGGAGTGAGATGCGAGGGGAGAGGTAGGGGAGTGAGTGGAGGGGAGTGGAGTGAGATGAGAGGGGAGAGGTAGCAGAATGAGTGGAGGGGAGTGGAGTGAGATGAGAGGGGAGAGGTAGGGGAGTGAGTGGAGGGGAGTGGAGTGAGATGAGAGGGGAGAGGTAGGAGAATGAGTGGAGGGGAGTGGAGTGAGATGAGAGGGGAGAGGTAGGAGAGTGTGTGGAGGGGAGTGGAGTGAGATGAGAGGGGAGAGGTAGGAGAGTGAGTGGAGGGGAGTGGAGTGAGATGAGAGGGGAGAGGTAGGAGAATGAGTGGAGGGGAGTGGAGTGAGATGAGAGGGGAGAGGTAGGGGAGTGAGTGGAGGGGAGTGGAGTGAGATGAGAGGTAGGAGAATGAGTGGAGGGGAGTAGAGAGAGATGAGAGGGGGAGAGGTAGACATTGACAAACATACGGAAGTCCTCAACAACAAAGCCCCACTCAGTGACGCTTGCCTTAATAAACCATTGTCCTTGACTATGACTATTATTGTTGTTGTTATTAATGTATGTTGAACTCCTTTCGCACCGTTCGTAGCCAACCGTGCTAATCGGAGGTGCGGGGGAAGGACAACAAACTATACATAAAAATCAGTTCTAAATGAGTTTTCAATCTAGATTATTTAAAAGTGGCATAGCTCCGGTGGCTTCCTAATATGGGAAGGAAGAGCGTTCCAGACGGCCGCAGAAGCGCATCTGAAAGCGCGCGATGTGGTGACCACCATCTTTGTTCGATGTCCAGCCAAAAGCCACTGCTGGTTTCCTTGACGAGATCAGCAAGGTATTGTGGTTCATTTGTGGCAAGCACTTCGTGTGTAATGAGTGCCAACTAATAACGTATTCGTTCGGAAACCAGAAGCCAGTACAACCCGGCGAGCACCGGACGGATACCGTCGAATCTTGCAGGGCCCTCCTGTGCACGGAGCCCTTGACACAGCAGCGAGGCCTTCACACGTTAATCGGTGACGTTGACGTTACGGTGATGCTGATGCCAATTGCAGAGCCCCAGGGAAGACGTTCTGAATCACGCGCTGCCCAAGAGCGCTTCCAACACCCTGGAGGTGGCAGCCTTCACCTTCCCCTCCACACTGAGCGGTGAGCATAGCTCAGTGAGCAGTGCACCTCCCAGTGTGTTTGTTTGTGTGCGTGTTTGTGGAGTGGTGGCGTAGCGGTCAGTGCACTGCGCTACGCAGCCGGTGACCCGGGTTCGATTCCCGCTCGCGGCCAACACCAGTGACGGTTACTTGAACCGGTCATGGGCATCCCCTAGATCGACTCAGCCTCAAATTAGTACCTGCTGCGGGGTGTAAACATCGCCACTGGGGAGACAAAGGCGGTCGGGCGTGGTGCTGGCCACCCCCACCCCTCGTGTGCCGTTCCGGCCTAAATAGGTGCTCGCTAACAGCACTTGCCCCAACAGTCTGTTAAGGCTACACGGTGGATCATTGTATTGTCTTGTGTCAATGTGTGGGGGAGTGGTGGTGCTTTATATTCTTCTGGGATCCCTCGGAGTCGAGTAATGATTTCCCTCCAGGTGTCTCCACTTGTGTCCGTGTTGTGAGGTGGACCTGGCTGTCCATGGGTCACGAGATGGCTGAACAGGCCAATCCGTGACCTGCAGATCTTGGCACAGTGGGGGCACCAGGATGGTCCATCCTGGTGCTCCCACTCGTCGTTGTCTCTGGTGTGTGTGTTGCTTTGCGGGCGTGCTCTTTTCCTGGCTATAAACTCTCTTCGCTCGGCCTCAAAATGCTGAGTTCCATTGTTTATTTTGTCCCTCCATGATGGTCTATCAAGAGCAGAGATTTTCCAATGGTTTGGATCTGTGTGGCTTCGCATGAGGTGCATTTTAAGGTTGTCACTGAAACGCTTCCTTTGACCTCCGGGGGCAACGTGATCCATCGCTGAGAAGGGAATAGAAGATTTGCTTTGGAAGCCTTGCAAGGTGACCTGCCCCATCTGAGTTGATACTTCATCATGATGGCCTCTATGCTGGATGAGTTGGATCGCTCCAGGACACCGATATTAGTTCGTCTTTCTTCCCAGGCGACGTTTAGTATTTTCCTGAGACAGCGTTGACATTTAGAGAGATTTTACGTGTTTACGATAGGCGGTCCGGATTTCTGCACCACGTAAGAGGGTTGGAATGATCACAGCATTATACACAGCCACTTTGGTCTTGGTGGTAATGTCGTGGTCTTCAAAGACCCTGAGCCAATCCGATGTTGGATTTCATAATCAAGACATTGCTAGAGAGATGGCTGCCTAAGTATGTGAAACTGGGAACGTTTTCGAGTATTGCTTCATTTGACCTCTGAACCCGGCGACCCGATTTTGATTCTCGCTCATGGCGAGCACCACAGTGACGATTACTTGAACTGGTCCTGGGTCTCCCCCAGGTCGACTCAGCCTCAAATGAGTGGCTGGTGCCATGGTAATCCATCGCCACTCGGGGGATAAATGGCGGCCGGGCGTGGTGCTGGCCGCCCACCCTCTCGTGTGCCGTGCCGGCCTTCATAGGCGCTCGCTAACAGCACTTGCCCCTACAGTCTGTTGAGGCTACACGGGGGATCTTTGTCTTTCAGTGGGAGCCAAGAGGGGAGATTCTCGCCTCTCGGTCGCGAGCTCCGACTCCAACTCGAGCCTCCACGAACGCAGGAACACCATGGACCAGGTGGCTCCTCCAGCTGCACACTAACACTCACTCTACTCATCATCATCTCTCATCATCATCTCTCATCATCATCTCTCATCATCATCTCTCATCAACACCATGGACCAGGTGGCTCCTCCAGCTGCACACTAACACTCACTCTACTCATCATCATCATCATCTCTCATCATCATCATCATCTCTCATCATCATCTCTCATCATCAACACCGTAAACCAGGTAGCTCCTCCAGCTGCACACAAACACTCTACTCATCATCATCATCTCTCATGATCATCTCTCATCATCATCATCATCTATCATCATCATCATCATCATCTTTCATCATCAACACCATGGACCAGGTGGCTTCTCCAGCTGCACACTAACACTCACTCTACTCATCATAATCTCTCATCATCTCTCATCATCATCTCTCATCATCATCATCTCTCATGATCATCTCTCTCATCATCATCTCTCTCATCATCAACACCATGGACCAGGTGGCTCCTCCAGCTGCACTCTAACGCTCACTCTACTCATCACTCTCATGGCATGTGTGTGTCGTGTGTGGCATGCGTGTGTATCGTGCGTGTGTGTGGTATACGTGCGCGTGTCTGTCGTGTGTTGTGTGTGTGTGGTGTGTGTGTGCCGTGTGGTGTGGTGTGCGTGTGTGTGTTGTGTGTGTGCCGTGTGTGTGTGTTGTGTGTGTGGCGTGGTGTGTGGTGTGGCGTGGTGTGTGGTGTGTGTGTGTGGTGTGTGTGTGCCGTGTGGTGTGGTGTGCGTGTGTGTGTTGTGTGTGTGCCGTGTGTGTGTGTTGTGTGTGTGTTGTGTGTGTGTGGTGTGTGATGTGGTGTGGTGTGTGTTGTGTGTGTCTGGTGTGTGATGTGGTGTGGTGTGTGTGTGTGGTGTGTGGTGCGTGTTGTGGTGTGTCGCGTGGTGTGGCGTGGTGTGTGGTGTGGTGTGGTGTGGCGTGTGGTGTGGTGTGTGGTGTGGTGTGGCGTGGTGCGTGACCTTCCACAGGCGGCGACACTCGTGCTGCGGCCGGACGTGCTGCATGTGGTGGACGTGCAGACGCTGCTGCAGTGCTTCCTGCACGTGGTGAAGCACGCCCCCCAAGGTGACCCGGCTACCCAGCCCCTCCCCTCGCCACCCCTACCCAGCCCCTCCCCTCACCCCCCCTACCCAGCCCCTCCCCTCACCCCCCCTACCCAGCCCCTCCCCTCACCCCCCCTACCCAGCCCCTCCCCTCACCCCCCCTACCCAGCCCCTCCCCTCACCCCCCCTACCCAGCCCCTCCCCTCACCCCCCCTACCCAGCCCCTCCCCTCACCCCCCCTACCCAGCCCCTCCCCTCGCCACCCCCTACCCAGCCCCTCCCCTCACCCCCCTACCCAGCCCCTCCCCTCACCCCCCCTACCCAGCCCCTCCCCTCACCCCCCCTACCCAGCCCCTCCCCTCACCCCCCCTACCCAGCCCCTCCCCTCACCCCCCCTACCCAGCCCCTCCCCTCACCCCCCCTACACAGCCCCTCCCCTCACCCCCCCTACCCAGCCCCTCACCCCCCCTACCCAGCCCCTCCCCTCGCCACCCCCGACCCAGCCCCTCCCCTCGCCACCCCCTACCCAGCCCCTCCCCTCGCCACCCCCTACCCAGCCCCGCCCCTCGCCACCCCCTTCCCCCCCCCCGTGCACCCTCCCCCACCACCACCCACCGCCCGAATGGCACGTGACAAGCTTTTGAAAACGGTTCGGCAAATGCCTCAACATATTCGTCAATAACAGGGCGCGTGGCCTGAAGAGGAACGATATCCGGTAAACCCTTGTTAAATCTTCACTTAAAGCTTTCGCGACTGCAGGAATTCGTATGCTTTGGGTCTCTCGGTAAAGTCACGTAGACAGGTTCAAAGAAAATAACAAAAAAAACTACGACGTTTCGATCACAACACAAGCGGTCGACATCAGGAGGAAAAAAAAAAAGGATGACGATCTCTCGTGTTGCGATCGAATCGTCTTGGTCTCTTGTTATTTTCTTTGAACTTATCTACGTGACTTTACCGAAAGACCCAAAGAATATGAAACCCTTGCTAATTCGACACATCCGGTGCTCTGGCCTTGCCAGATTATCCAATATTCCAAATAATGGCCAATGATAACTTTTGCGGTGCCTCCTGCCCAAATTTGTTTTCCAAATCTCTTCACGCACCATACGCATCGCCACACACCCTGCATCGGTCACATCCAAAACTTTGGAAGCGTCTCGCGGACCCAGGGATTTACACTTGAGGCCCTCTCTATTACTTCTTGATGTAGGTGTAGGCGACATTTCTGAGAGGGTTGGCCTGCGCAGAGTGCACAAACGAGGTGAAGTCCAAAGCGACGACGGGTCCGCACTGACGCTCGCCACGCTCACCACGCTCACCACGCTCACCACGCTCACCACGCTCGCCACGCTCGCCACGCTCGCCACGCTCGCCACGCTCGCCACGCTCACCACGCTCACCACGCTCACCACGCTCGCCACGCTCACCACGCTCGCCACGCTCGCCACGCTCACCACGCTCACCACGCTCACCACGCTCACCACGCTCGCCACGCGTGCCGTCACCAGGCCGAGTCGTTGTTTTGGTCGTGGCTTGCTGCGTCTCTCCACGGGCATGCCGAAATTGGACCGTTCGGTAATGAAATCCGGCTCGTGGCGAATCACTAGCACACCCCAATTACGAATGCTCAAATACCGAAATAACGAGGTTTTACTGGATATGTAATCGGCGAGGTTTTGGGCAGTGGCCCTTCACGGTGCGCGCTTTCAGATGCGCTACTGCGGCCGTCTGGAACGCTCTTCCTTCCGATATTAGAAAGCCATTTCTTTAGAACTGCTTTTAGTGTTTAGTTTGTGTGTCCTTCCCCCCCCGCTTCTCCGATTAGCACGATTGGCTACGCACGGTGCGAAAGAAGTTCAACATACATACTGAGGCGGTCGAGCGTGGTGCTGGTCACTGACTCCCTTGTGTGCCGTGTCGGCCTTTATCGGTGCTACTCGCAAACAACACTTGCCCCAACAGTCTGTTAAATGCTACACGGGGAATCTTTGTCTTTGTCCCATAGATGCCCTGCTCAACTACTGGAGGAAGACCTCCAGCAATGAAATTTTGGACTTCTTCGGGATTCTAGAGTGAGTGACAAGCAGAGCAGCCGCCCACAGACTCCCCTGAGACAGAATACGTATGCCGTACACAAACACGTGTCCACACTAACAACAATAACAACAGCACCTATTCGCCACTAAGTGGCGTTGACATCACGGCGCTTGTCCCAGGCCGGGTGCACTTTGAGGCCACGGGAAGTGTGGAAGACTCGCTGCTGGCAGGAGGTCGTGGAACAGACCCAGGTGTTTTGGGTTAATTACCTGAGATGACTGGCAGAAGCACCACCTTCGATGCCTACTGGGCCAACTTGCTGCATTTTAGCCGCCTGGCGCTCCGCTCGTTGTTCTGACCATCGTTCCTCCGCCTTCCGATGGTCTTGGAGGGCGACTAACTCCAGTTGTCCAGGAGTGTCCTTCACGAGCTGTGTGCTGTGTGTGTGCTGTGTGTCTGCTGTATGTGATGTGAGAGCTGTGTGTGAGCTGTGTGTAGGGTGCGACGGTTGGTGAGATGTTAAATCCCTTGCTTGGTACATAGGAGGTCGTGGTTTTCGATCCCAACCCTAACGCCTGCTATATATTTGGAATTTGCGTGTCTCTCTCCCCGTGGTCACGTGGATTTTTTTTTTTAGGGTCCTCCTGTTTTGCTCCTCCGCATTTAGAAACACGCGTTGAGACTGTTTGGTTGTTATAAATGTCCACGTGATGATAAGCCACTTCGCTGAGCTCTCACTTCTGAAAAAGAGCTACGTCGCTCAGTGAGCCTTACCTGGTAAAATACAAAATAGGTTTCGTTAAAAAAATGGGTTTAGGTACATGTGTGTGTCCTGTGTGTGTGCTGTGTGCAGTGCGTGTTGTGTGCATGTGTGTGCTGTGTATGTGTGCGTGTGCTATATGTGAGAGCTGTTTGCGAACTGTGTGTGTGTGCTGTGTGTGTTGTATACGTATGCTGTGTGTGCTGTGTGTGTGTGCTGTGTGTGTGATGCCTCTCCCTGTGCTCTCTTGCAGGTTGTGTCTGCACCAGTTTAAATACCTGGGCAAGCGCCACTACTGCAGCAGGTGACTCCCTGCGTTACTCACGTCATGCAACCGAGTCAGGGTCACGGCATGCACAGTGTGATGTGATGTACCTGGAGTGCAGGCTCCCAGAATGCACTGCGTGCCATAACAAGATCCTTCAAAGTCACAGGAGTTACACCGCAGTGTGTGTGTGTGTGTAACCGTGTAGGGGAGCGGCAGTGTAGCGGTTTGCGCGTCGCACTACGGACCTGGCCACCCGAGTTTGATTCCCGCTCATGGCCACAAACGCCAGTGATGGTTATCCGAACGGGTCGACTCAGCCTTAAAATGAGTACCAGGCGTGGTGTGTAAACATCACCACTGGGGAGACAAAGGCGGGCGGGCGTGGCGCTGGCCACCCACCCCGTCGTGTGCCGTGCCAACCTTAACAGGTGCTTCGCTCACGGCACTTGCCCCGACAGTCTGTTAAGGCTACACGGGGGATCTTTGTCTCCGTGTGTGCGTGCGTGTGCAGTGCAGGGGATGCCGCGCCGGCATCTGTGTGCGCCCCCGTGCCGGGCGCGCAGGTGAAGCGCTCTCAGACACTGCCCGCGCGTCGCCCCCCACACACGCTGCTGCAGCTGAGACAGCACGGGGGGCTGCTGGGCAGCAGCGTGGGTAATGCTCGCCAGCTCAGACGCTCGCACACACACACACACACTTGCATACGCCGCCCCGGTCTGAAAACACGCTGGGCAGCGGCATGCCTACCGGGTTGTCAAGAAGCATAAACCACCATCGCATGAACCCCGGTCATCCTCGCAGCAGCGGCTTGTGGCAGGCCATAGAATCAAGACGGCGGTCACCGCGTCGCGCGGCGCTTTCAGACGCGCTTCTGCGGCCGTCTGGAACGCTCTTCCTTCCGATATCAGGAAGCCACTGGAGCTGTGCACTTTAAAATCGCCCGGAATGAAAACGAATTTCTTTCGAATTGCTTTTTGTGTTTAGTTTGTTGTCCTTCCCCCACGCCTCCGATTAGCACGGTTGGCTACGTACGGTGCGAAAGAAGTTCAACGTGCACACCGCCCCGGTCTGAAAACACGCTGGGGCTCCGCAAGCCAGACACACATCCAACACATTTACACACATGCATACAGATATGTATATTCGTGCATATGCATTCACAAAGATAAATACAAAAGATGTCTCCGTATAGCCTTTAACAGACTGTTGGGGCAAGTGCTGTTAGCGAGCAGCTATTGAGGCTGGGAGCGAGGGATGCGATGTGAGGACTTGGGGGCGTGCAGCCACGAGTCGAGTTTGTTGTTGGGATGCGTTTTTGCCTTCACGTGGAGAATGTCTCTCTCCTCCGTGACCCGACGTGACCCCGCCCTCTCTCTTTCTCCTCTGTGACCTGACCTCTCTCTCTCCCCTCCGTGACTCTCCGTGACCCCTCTATCTCTCTCTCTCTCTCTCTCTCCCCTCCGTGACCCTCCGTGACACCTCTCTCTCCTCCGTGACCCTCCGTGACCCCTCTCTCCTCCGTGACTCTCCGTGACCCTCCGTGACCCCTCCCTATCTCTCTGTCTCTCTCCTCCGTGAACCTCCGTGACCCTCCGTGACCTCTCTCTCTCTCCTCCGTGACCCTCTGTGACCCTTCTCTCTCTCCTCCGTGACCCTCCGTGACCTCTCTCTCCTCCGTGACCCTCCGTGACCCCTCTCTCTCTCCCCTCCGTGACCCTCCGTGACCCCTCTCTCTCCTCCGTGACCCTCCGTGACCTCTCTCCTCCGTGACCCTCCGTGACCCCTCTCTCTTTCTCCTCCGTGACCCTCTGTGACCCTTCTCTCTCTCCTCCGTGACTCTCCGTGACCCTCCGTGACCCCTCTCTCTCCTCCGTGACCCTCCGTGACCCCTCTCTCTCTCCTCCGTGACCCTCCGTGACCCCTCTCTCTCCTCCGTGACCTCTCTCTCCTCCGTGACCCTCCGTGACCCCCCTCTCTCTCTCCTCCGTGACCCTCCGTGACCCCTCTCTCTCTCCTGTGACCCTCCGTGACCCCTCTCTCTCTCCTCCGTGACCCTCGGCGACCCCTCCCGCTGCCTCTCTCGCAGGCTCGGAGGTCGAGGCCCAGCAGCAGTGCTTGCTGGCCGCCAACCTCTCGACGGAGGTTTGCCTCACCGTGCTCGACACCATGGAGCTCTACACCCACAACTACAAGGTACCGCACGTCGCCAACGCGGGGACAAACATTGGCGCCCGCATGGCCTCAATCGAATTGTTGGGGCGAGTGCCCTTAGCGAACAGCACCTATGAAGGCCGGCACGGCTCACGGAGGGGTGGGTGTGGCCAGCAACACTCCGCCGACCGCCTTTGCCTCCCCGGTGGTGATGTTTACACACTGTACCACGTACTCGTTTGAGGCCGAGTCGACCTAGGCGAGGGCCCGGGTACCCTCGCAGATAATTGTCACCGGTGTTGATGGGCGTGAGCGGGAATCTAACTCAGTTTGCCGGGTTTGCAGTGCAGCGCGCTAGCCACGACAACAAGCACGCTCCCCTACGAGACATTGCCACACACACAGATCCACGGTTGTAGCCTGCGCACACTGTTGAGGCACGTGCTGTTAGCGCACACCTGTGTGTGTCTGTGTGCATCTGTGTGCGTCTGTGTGTGTCTGTGTGTGTCTGTGTGTGTCTGTGTGTGTCTGTGTGTCTGTGTGCGTCTGTGTGTGTCTGTGTGTGTCTGTGTGCGTCTGTGTGTGTCTGTGTGTGTCTGTGCGTGTCTGTGCGCTTCTGTGCGCGTGTCTGCGCACCTGTGCGCGTCTGTGCATGTCTGTACGTGTCTGTGCGTGTCTGTGCACGTCTGTACGTGTCTGTGCGTGTCTGTGCACGTCTGTACGTGTCTGTACGTGTCTGTGCGTGTCTGTGCACGTCTGTACGTGTCTGTGCGTGTCTGTGCACGTCTGCACGTGTCTGTGCGTGTCCGTGCGCGCGTCTGCAGGAGCGGCTGCTGGCGGGCGGTGGCGACGGCGTGCTGATGCAGCGCTCGTTCGGGGTCTACGTGACGGCGCTGCGCTCTGGGCAGTCGGCCGTCGCTCTCGGGCACGTCTTCGCTTCTCTGCACACTTTCCTCAACAAGGTACGTGACTATGTGCTCTGTGCGCTACGTGTGTGTGCGCTACGTGTGTGTGTGGTACGTGTATGTGTGTGCTACGTGTGTGTGTGCGCTACGTGTGTGTGCGCTACGTGTGTGTGTGTGGTACGTGTGTGTGTGTGCTACGTGTGTGTGTGCGCTACGTGTGTGTGTGGTATGTGTGTGTGTGCGCTACGTGTGTGTGCGCTACGTGTGTGTGTGTGGTACGTGTGTGTGTGCACTACGTGTGTGTGCGCTACGTGTGTGTGCTACGTGTGTGTGTGCTACGTGTGTGTGTGCACTACGTGTGTGTGTGCACTACGTGTGTGTGCTATGTGTGTGTGTGCTATGTGTGTGTGTGGTTCGTGTGTGTGCGCTACGTGTGTGTGCACTACGTGTGTGCGCGCTACGTGTGTGTGCGCTATGTGTGTGTGTGCGCTACGTGTGTGTGCGCTACGTGTGTGTGCGCTACGTGTGTGTGTGTGCTACGTATGTGTGTGCTATGTGTGTGTGTGGTATGTGTGTGTGGTACGTGTGTGTGCGCTACGTGTGTGTGTGGTATGTGTGTGTGTGTGTGGTACGTGTGTGTGCGCTACATGTGTGTGCGCTACGTGTGTGTGTGGTACGTGTGTGTGCGCTATGTGTGTGTGTGTGGTACGTGTGTGTGCGCTACGTGTGTGTGTGTGTGCGCTACGTGGGTGTGCGCTACGTGTGTGTGTGCACTACGTGTGTGCGTGCTACGTGTGTGTGTGCGCTACGTGTGTGTGTGTGGTACGTGTGGGTGTGCGCTACGTGTGTGTGTGTGTGCGCTACGTGTGTGTGCGCTACGTGTGTGTGTGTGGTACGTGTGTGTGTGGTACGTGTGTGTGTGCGCTACGTGTGTGTGTGTGCGCTACGTGTGTGTGCGCTACGTGTGTGTGCGCTACGTGTGTGTGTGTGTGGTACGTGTGTGTGCGCTACGTGTGTGTGTGCTACGTGTGTGTGTGTGCTACGTGTGTGTGCGCTACGTGTGTGTGTGCTACGTGTGTGTGTGTGCTACGTGTGTGTGCGCTACGTGTGTGTGCGCTACGTGTGTGTGTGTGTGTGGTACATGTGTGTGCACTACGTGTGTGTGTGCTACGTGTGTGTGTGTGGTACGTGTGTGTGCGCTACGTGTGTGCGCTACGTGTGTGTGCGCTACGTGTGTGTGTGCGCTACGTGTGTGTGTGCGCTACGTGTGTGTGTGTGCGCTACGTGTGTGTGTGCTACGTGTGTGTGTGTGCGCTACGTGTGTGCGCTTCGTGTGTGTGCGCTACGTGTGTGTGTGTGCGCTACGTGTGTGTGCGCTACGTGTGTGTGTGCTACGTGTGTGTGTGTGTGTGTGGTACGTGTGTGTGGTACGTGTGTGTGCGCTACGTGTGTGTGCGCTACGTGTGTGTGTGCGCTACGTGTGTGTGTGTGCTACGTGTGTGTGTGTGCGCTACGTGTGTGCGCTACGTGTGTGTGCGCTACGTGTGTGTGTGTGCTACGTGTGTGTGTGCTACGTGTGTGTGTGCGTTACGTGTGTCCTATCTGTTGTGTATGTTTGTTATCTTCTGGGTGTGCTACGTGTGTGCGCTACGTGTGTGTGCTATGTGTGTGTATGTGTTATGTGTGTGAGCTATCTGCTGTATATGATACGTGTGTTTGCTATCTATTGTGTGTGCTATGTGTGTGTGCTATGTGTTTGCTATGTGTTGTATGTGACATGTGTATTTGCTATGTGATATGTGTGCTATGTATGCACTATGTTCTGTGTGTGCTATGTGTGCACTATGTGCTGTGCTATGCTATGTATCCACCGTGTGCTGTGCGTGCTATGTGTGCACTGTGCTGTGTGTGCACTATGTGCTGTGCTATGTATCCACCGTGTGCTGTGCGTGCTATGTGTGCACTGTGCTGTGTGTGCACTATGTGCTGTGCTATGTATCCACCGTGTGCTGTGCGTGCTATGTGTGCACTGTGCTGTGTGTGTGCTATGTGCTGTGCTGTGCTATGTATCCACCGTGTGCTGTGCGTGCTATGTGCCGTGCGAAGTTCAAGGTGGCATTCCTGCGAGGACGCAGCGAGCTGTGCGGCACGCTGTGCCTGGAGGCGCTGCGTTGCTGCGGATCGCGCCTGGGCTGGGCGCAGGCGTGCCTGCTGCTGCACCTCCTCATGCGCCTCAACTTCGAGATGTCGGGGCGCGTCGCGTTCTCACGCACACACACGCAGGTGCAAACCCCACACACCCCGCACACCACGCACACACACAACCCGCACACCACGCACACACACGCACACCCCGCGCACAACACGCACACACACGCACACCACACACGCACACCCCGCACACCATGCACACACACGCACACCCCGCGCACACCCCACACACCCCGCACACCCCGCACACACCCCGCACACACACACAGGTTCACACCCCACACACAACACGCACACACACACAGGTTCACACCGCACACACCCCGCACACACACACAGGTTCACACCCCACACACGCGACGATGTTGCCGGCGCCGTGTGTGCAGGTGATCGTGGCCGTGAGCCGCCTGATGAGCGAGGCCGGGGACCTGGGCGGCCCCCGCTTCCAGCGAGCCCTCTCCACCCTCAACGCCTACGCGGCGAGCGACGCCACCGTTAGGGTACGCGCCACCGCCGTCATCGCCACCGCCGTCATCGCCACCGTTTCCACCTTGCCACCATCATCGCCACTGTCGCCACCATCACAAAGGTGGCCGGCACCACGGCCACCTGCCTGTGTGCCATGCTGACATTCATCGGTGCTCGCTAACGGCACTTGCCCCAACAGCCCGTTAAAGGCTAAACGGGGGGGGCGGTGATCTCTGTGCGTACGTGTATGTACGCCCGTGCGTGTATGTACGCCCGTGCGTGTATGTACGCCCGTGCGTGTATGTACGCCCGTGCGTGTATGTACGCCCGTGCGTGTGTGTACGCCCGTGCGTGTGTGTACGCCCGTGCGTGCGTGTACGCCCGTGCGTGCATGTACGCCCGTGCGTGCATGTACGCCCGTGCGTGTATGTACGCCCGTGCGTGTATGTACGCCCGTGCGTGTATGTACGCCCGTGCGTGTATGTACGCCCGTGCGTGTATGTACGCCCGTGCGTGTGCGTGTGCGTGTGCAGGGCAGCGCGTTTGCGGGGCAGGTGAAGGAGCTGACGAAGCGCGTGCGGGCCGTCCTCACGGCCACGCTGCAGATGAAGGAGCACGAGCGTGACTCCGAGATGATGGTCGACCTGCAGCACAGCCTCGCCACCTCCTACGCGGGCATGGCCGAGCTGCGCAAGGCCTGGCTCGAGAGCATGGCGCGCATGCACGAGCGCAACGGAGACCTCTCCGAGGTGCTCCGAGAGGCGGCGCCGGCACCACTCGCACACACAGCGGCGGCAGCAGCAGCAGCAGCTCCACTCGCACATACTGCAGCACCAGCAGAACCAGCCGCACTCACACACACAGCGGCAGCAGCACCAGCAGCTCCACTCGCACATACTGCAGCACCAGCAGAACCAGCAGCACTCGCACACACAGCGGCAGCAGCGTCGCTCACACGTCGAGTGGCAGCACCACCCGCAGCTCCAGCAGCAGTAGCAGCTCCACTCGCACATACTGCAGCACCAGCAGAACCAGCACCACTTACACATACAGCGGCAGCAGCAGCAGCGTCGCTCACACGTAGAGTGGCAGCAGCAGCAGCACCCGCAGCTCCAGCAGCAGCACCAGCTCCACTCGCACATACTGCAGCACCAGCAGAACCAGCAGAACCAGCACCACTCACACATACAGCTCCAGCAGCAGCAGCAGCTCCACTCGCACATACTGCAGCACCAGCAGAACCAGCAGCACTCACACACACAGCGACAGCAGCACCAGCTCCACTCACACATACTGCAGCACCAGCAGAACCAGCAGCACTTACACACACAGCAGCAGCAGCAGCGTCGCTCACACGTAGAGTGGCAGCAGCAGCAGCAGTTCCAGCAGCAGCACCAGCTCCACTCGCACATACTGCAGCACCGGCAGAACCAGCCGCACTTACACACACAGCAGCAGCAGCAGCACCGGTAGCTCCAGCAGCAGCAGCGCCGCTCACACATACAGCAGCAGCAGCACCAGTGACACTCACACATGCAGCTTCACCAGCAGCACCAGCGTCGTTTGTGTGTGTGTATGTAGGAGTTTGTGTGTGTGTGTATGTAGGAGTTTGTGTGTGTGTATATGTAGGAGTTTGTGTGTGTGTGTGTATGTAGGAGTTTGTGTGTGTGTGTGTATGTAGGAGTTTGTGTGTGTGTATGTAGGAGTTTGTGTGTGTGTATGTAGGGGTTTGTGTGTGTGTATGTAGGGGTTTGTGTGTGTGTATGTAGGAGTTTGTGTGTGTGTGTATGTAGGAGTTTGTGTGTATCTATGTAGGAGTTTGTGTGTGTGTGTATGTAGGAGTTTGTGTGCGTGTATGTATGTAGGAGTTTGTGTGTGTGTATGTATGTAGGAGTTTGTGTGTGTATGTAGGAGTTTGTGTGTGTATGTATGTAGGAGTTTGTGTGTATGTAGGAGTTTGTGTGTGTATGTAGGAGTTTGTGTGTGTGTATGTAGGAGTTTGTGTGGGTGTAGGAGTTTGTGTGTGTGTATGTAGGAGTTTGTGTGTATGTATGTAGGAGTTTGTGTGTGTATGTATGTAGGAGTTTGTGTGTGTGTGTATGTAGGAGTTTGTGTGTGTGTAGGAGTTTGTGTGTGTGTATGTAGGAGTTTGTGTATGTATGTAGGAGTTTGTGTCTGTGTATGTATGTATGTAGGAGTTTGTTTGTGTGTATGTAGGAGTTTGTGTGTCTCTCTGTATGTAGGAGTTTGTGTGCGTGTATGTAGGAGTTTGTGTATGTGCGTGTATGTAGGAGTTTGTGTGTGTGTATGTATGTAGGAGTTTGTCTGTGTGTGTATGTAGGAGTTTGTGTGTGTAGGAGTTTGTGTGTGTATGTAGGAGTTTGTGTGTGTATGTATGTAGGAGTTTGTGTGTGTGTAGGAGTTTGTGTGTGTATGTATGTAGGAGTTTGTGTGTGTGTATGTAGGAGTTTGTGTGTATGTATGTAGGAGTTTGTGTGTGTATGTAGGAGTTTGTGTGTGTATGTATGTAGGAGTTTGTGTGTGTGTAGGAGTTTGTGTGTGTCTCTGTATGTAGGAGTTTGTGTGCGTGTATGTAGGAGTTTGTGTATGTGCGTGTATGTAGGAGTTTGTGTGTGTGTATGTATGTAGGAGTTTGTCTGTGTGTATGTAGGAGTTTGTGTGTGTAGGAGTTTGTGTGTGTATGTAGGAGTTTGTGTGTGTATGTATGTAGGAGTTTGTGTGTGTGTAGGAGTTTGTGTGTGTGTGTAGGAGTTTGTGTGTGTATGTATGTAGGAGTTTGTGTGTATGTGTGTAAGTAGGAGTTTGTGTGTGTGTGTAGGAGTTTGTGTGTGTGTATGTAGGAGTTTGTGTGTATGTAGCAGTTTGTGTGTGTGTATGTAGGAGTTTGTGTGTGTATGTATGTAGGAGTTTGTGTATGTAGGAGTTTGTGTGTGTGTGTGTATGTAGGAGTTTGTGTGTGTGCACCTGTGAGTGAGAATATCTGCGAGTGAACATTGGGGAGCATTTGGGGTGCCAACCCCGGTGACCTCATCCCTGGTTATGACAGACATCAGTCGAGAGAGTGACAATAGGAACAGTCCTGGGCCTCCCCTAGGTCAACTCAACCTTAAATGAGTAGCTGTTGTGGTGTGCGAACATCAGCAGTGGGGAGACAAAGGTGGCCCGGCATGGGTGCTCGGTGTCTCGGACTTAATGGGGTCTCGCTGTCATCACTCGGGGGTGGGCTTTGTGCGTTGATTGTGCTGTGACGTGGCGATGACGGTGGCACCGCGTGTGTCCGGCAGGCTGCCATGTGCCACATCCACATCGCGGCACTCATGGCGAAATATCTGAAGAGGAGAGGTGAGCGGTCACACGGATACAGACGCACAGATACACACAGACACAGATACACACACACAGATACAGATACAAAGACAAAGATACACACACACAGGTACACACACGCAGATATATATACACACACACAGATGTATACAACAACAACAACCGCCATTCGCCACTAAGTGGCGGTGACGTCACCACGACGCTTGTGCCAGGCCATGTGCACCTTGAGGCCACGTGAAGTGTCGAACGCCCGCGGGCAGGAGGTCACGGGGCAGACCCAGGTGCCACGGGTCGACTGACTGAGATGACTGGCTGGTGCACCACCTGTGCCCCCTACTGTGCCAACCTGCTGTGCTTTAGCCACCCGGCGCTCCGCTCGTTGTTGTGAGCGTCGCTCCTCCGCCCTCCGTTGTTGTTGGAGGGCGACTACCTCCAACTGCCCAGTAGCGTCCTTCACGAGCCTCCTCCACAGAGGCCGATCTTGACACCGCTGGTACCAGTCATTGGCAAGTCCACTCAGCTCCACGTCTTCCTGTACCACATCACTCCATCTCTTCTCTAGCCCGTGCCGCGCCCGCTTAGCCCCCTCGATCCGGCCGAACAAAAGCTGTTTCGGCATGCAGTGGCTGGGCATGTGGGTTACATGACCCAGCCAACGCAGCCTTGCCTGCCGGAGGAGCTCACCGATGGGACCTTGCCCAGATCTTTAAAAGATTTGTGAGCTCCTCACACAATCCAGCCTGGTTAAACCCAGGATGGATCGTAGGCAGACTAGCCTAAATGTTTCTAACCGGCGAAGATGTTCCATTAGGGGGGTCCACGTTTCGCAAGCGTAGAGAAGGGAGGGAATGACCGTGGCCGAGAAGACCTGAAGCTTAGTGCGGAGCGACAGACCAGGTAGCTTCCACACAGCGTTACGCAACCGATGAAAATATATTGCCGCTCGACTGATTCGGAGTGAGACCTCTGCTGTTAAACTGGAGCCGGTCATAAGCACACTGCCCAGGTATGGGAAACTCTCCACTCTCTCCACAACTGCCCCATCACCGATTGGCAGTTGTGGGGGTGGAGTGTCCGATGGTACAAAATACCCAGGCAGGTGCTTAGTTTTGGTGGGGCTGATGGTAAGGCCCCATCTCTTAGTGGCACGCTCCAGTCTCAGCAGCAGCGTCTCCAACTCCTCCTCTGAATGAGCAGCTATTACCAAATCATCGGCATACATAACGTGGTTGAGCAATAGGGAGCCATCCCTTGACCGCACCCGGGCATCGATCAGCCTCCCATTATATCTGTACGATATGGAGATTCCCCCGGTACAGCTATTGAAGGCTTCACGAACTACGTGGTCAAAATAGATGTTAAATAATGTATTATAGATGTATACACACACAGATACACACAAAGAAAAAGACAAAGATCCCCCATGTAACCTTAACAGACTGTTGGGACAAGTGCTGCTAGCGAGTAGCACCTACAGTGAGGGAAAAAGTATTTGATCCCCTGCTGATTTTGTACGTTTGCCCACTGACAAAGAAATGATCAGTTTATAATTTTAATGGTAGGTTTATTTGAACAGTGAGAGACAGAATAACAACAAGAAAATCCGGAAAAACGCATGTCAAAAATGTTATAAATTGATTTGCATTTCAATGAGAGAAATAAGTATTTGACCCCCTCTCAATCAGAAAGATTTCTGGCTCCCAGGTGTCTTTTATACAGGTAACGAGCTGAGATTAGTAGCACACTCTTAAAGGGAGTGCTCATAATCTCAGCTTGTTACCTGTATAAAAGATTTCTGGCTCACAGGTGTCTTTTATACAGGTAACGAGCTGAGATTAGTAGCACACTCTTAAAGGGAGTGCTCATAATCTCAGCTTGTTACCTGTATAAAATATTTCTGGCTCACAGGTGTCTTTTATACAGATAACAAGCTGAGATTAGGAGCACTCCCTTTAAGAGTGTGCTACTAATCTCAGCTCGTTACCTGTATTAAAGACACCTGGGAGCCAGAAATCTTTCTGATTGAGAGGGGGTCAAATACTTATTTCCCTCATTAAAATGCAAATCAATTTATAACATTTTTGACATGCGTTTTTCTGGATTTTGTTGTTGTTATTCTGTCTCTCACTGTTCAAATAAACCTACCATTAAAATTGTAGACTGATCCTTTCTTTGTCAGTGGGCAAACATACAAAATCAGTAGGGGATCAAAAACTTTTTTCCCTCACTGTATGAAGCTTGGCACGGAGGCGAGATGTTAACTACCTCGCCTGGTATACAGGAGGTTGTGGGTTCAATCCCGACCCTGACGTCTGCTGCTGCTGTATATTTGGAGTTTGCGTGTGTCTCTCTCTCTCCCCGTTGTCGCGTGGATTTTCTCCGGGCCGTCCGGGTTTTTCACCGACACATTCACAAATAACATCACACGTTCAAGAGTAACCCACTTCGTAGACCTATCGTTTTTGTGACGGCCAGGGTCGCTTCTGACAAAAAAAAAAAAAATGCCTACTGCAGCTAAGTGGGGCCTTGCTCGTGTAGTACTTTTTTTTTTAAAAAAAAATATATACTTTAATTTCACCTCAGGTGTGTGCGACGCCGAGGGGCGAGTGGAGAGACCGCCGGAGCCCGACGCAAACCCCGGCGAAAGCAGCAGCAACAGCACGCTGCACGACACCCAGAGTGAGCGCACGATCGCCATCAGCGTGGCGCGCGAGTTGATGGCGTGGCACGGTCCCCCCCCGTATCAAGCGAGTGCCTCCGGCAGGCGAGGCTGCGTGTGCAGTCCCAGCAGCACAGCGCGGGCTAGCGAAGAGGCGGACTGATGTGCGAGCCAAGGGGGGCGGAGTGAGTTTGCGAGCCTGTGGGGCGAGTGAGCGGCACCGGCTACAGAAGAGATGGGCTGCTGCGGCACTGGAGGATGTCGAGCTGAGTGGACTTGCCGAGGGCCGGTGTCAGCGGTGCCAAGATCGGGCCCCCTGCAGAGGGAGGCTCTTGGAGGATTTTTCTGCAGGGTTTGAGGCAGCCGCAAACAGCGGAGGGCGGAGGAGCGACGCTCACAACAGTGAGCGGAGCGCCGGGCATCTAAAACAAACTATTAACACGTTAGCTGTTATTTTTATTCTACCAGCCGTGGCCCACTGAGCTATGTAGCTCCTTTTCAGAAGCGACCAGGCCACAAATGATAGCTCAAACAAGTGGCTTATCGTGTGGAAATTTGTAGCAGCCAAATACTCTAAACACTTGTTTGATTCTAAATGTGGGGATGAGAGATATACAACAGGCGTCAGCGTCGGAATCGAACCCACGACCTCCTGCATACCAGGCGAGGGAGTTAACACCTTGCCACCGTGGCACCCGAAAGCCAGGAGGCACAGTGAGGACTGCAGGCGGGTGCATCGGCTAGTTAAACCCCCACAACGCATGGATTTCTCCCGTAACTTGCCAGCGAGCATAGTGCCATTCCGTGTAGCCCCAAAGATCAGCTATCGCGGTAATATCCCCGGCACTCGGTGGTGATTGGCCGGCGGCCGGTCGTTGTTGGTGCGCGCGTGTGGTGCGTGCGTGTGGTGCGTGTGGTGCGTGCGTGTGGTGCGTGCGTGTGGTGCGTGCGTGTGGTGCGTGCGTGCGTGCGTGCGTGTGTCCAGGCGTGCTGATGCAGGGCGTCGCGGCGTTCGAGAGCATCACGCCCAACGTGACGGACGAGGAGACGGCCGAGGACGATGAGTGCGGCACCCAGGACGTGCACTTCAGCGAGGTGCGCCGTGATGGGGACGGCTCCGCACAACGCACAGCGTCTCGGGGGCCCCCCCCCCCCCACTCCACTCCCCCTGTCATTACGCGCAGCATTGTAGAAGTCGTAGCAAGAAGAGTTGTGAACGTGATTCTTTTAATTTGGCAGCAGCTGAGATCTACCGCTTCAAACGCAGGTAGTTGAGCACAATTGAAATCGGTCTTCGGGGGTTTGGTGGTGTGGTCATCGTGGTCGGAGGTGAGATCATCGTGGTCGGTGGTGAGGTCATCGTGGTTGGAGGTGAAGTCATCGTGGTCGGTGGTGAGGTCATCGTGGTCGGTGGTGAGGTCATCGTGGTCGGAGGTGAGGTCATCGTGGTCGGTGGTGAGGTCATCGTGGTCGGTGGTGAGGTCATCGTGGTCGGTGGTGAGGTCATCGTGGTCGGAGGTGAGGTCATCGTGGTCGGTGGTGAGGTCATCGTGGTCGGTGGTGAGGTCATCGTGGTCGGTGGTGAGGTCATCGTGGTCGGAGGTGAGGTCCCCGTGGTTGGTGCCGGGTCCCCGTTGCGGCTGGCGTTGACGACTTCTTTCTGTGCCCGCAGGACATGCTGGTGGAGCAGCTGGAGACGTGCGCCCACATGCTGGAGCGCGCCGAGCGCTTCGAGCTCATGGCCGACATCTACAAGATGATCATCCCCATCTACGAGCACCGCCGCGACTTCCAGGTGCCTGGCGGTGCTCCGCGTCGCGCAAGAGGACACAGACACGGCCGGCACTGAGACAAAGCTTTTAGAATGGGGGGGGGGGGGTGGGTGGGGGGGGGGGTGGGTGGGGGGGGGGCGCCCCAACACGCTCACTCACCCCCACCACGCTCACCCCCACCACTCCCCGTGCAACGTACGCCTGTGGCTGTGCGCGCTTATCAACAGGGTGGGGAGCGGCGGCGCAGATTCGTAGCCGCGCTTCGAATCGCGGCGAGCCGCGATTCGATTCCTCCCTCCCATCGCGGCCAACGCCGGTGACGATTATCTGAACCGGTCCCGGGCCTCCGCCTTGGTCGCCTCAGCCTCAAACGAGTGCCTGGGTGCGGCGCGTAGTAAACGTCACCACTGGGGAGACGACGGCGGCCGGGCGTGGTGCTGGCCTCCACCCAGCCCCTCGCGTGCCACAGCGCCGGCCTTCGTAGGTGCCCGCTGCCCGCTGCTCGCTGCTCGCTGCTCGCTGCTCGCTGCTCGCTGCTCGCTGCTCGCTGCTCGCTGCCCGCTGCCCGCTGCGAACGGTCGGGATCTTTGTCTTCGTCTGCACAGAAACTGAGCGATCTCTACATGGCCCTGCACAAGGCCTACGACCAGATCCTGGACGCCACGCGGACGTGCCGCCGATTGCTGGGCACCTTTTTCCGCGTGGCCTTCTTCGGGCAGGTGAGAGGCCGCGCCGACAACATCCACAACCAACCGGTCGCTCGCCCTCGACGCACCGAGCAGCCGGCAGCCGGCGCCGTAGCATTGGGGGCTGGAGGGGGCTAGCCCCCTCCCCCCCCTCGGTCACCCCCCTCCCCAACCCCCCCCCACCCCCTCTCCCCCACCTTCAGTCAAGTAATGCGATGAGTATTGTTAAGCGATGGGCATGCCCAGCTTTGGCTCATGCGCACCGGGCGTGAGAGCAGAGGGCACGGTAGGGCCAAGGCAGGCCGTGCGCCTGACTCGCTCGACGTTCGTGTGGCGTTTGTTGAACGTTGACCGTGTCATGCCGTGGCCCCCCACCCATAACCCCCCCCCCCCCCCCATTCACACATGGTCAAGCTACAGCACCAGGCTTGCCCATGAGCCCCTGCTACCCAACTGCATTTAAATATAGATTTGTATATATATATAAAATTATTTGTCGAATTCTACATACTGTATACGTATATACGTTTTCACACGTAGGCTCTCGCGCCAAATATTATCCACCTGATTGGCTCAGAAGTGACGACATCACATTTAGCCTCCTCTATTTAAGATCGCCTGATGATCCTGGTTGTAATTACTGGCGAGATGTCACGTTACTCAGATTGCAAATGTTGTCGGTTTACTCTCCAACTCGCAACCGCTGTGGTGAGCTAGTAACGAACTGGCACATTCTGTTCACGTGACAAACCTTACTAGTTGGCTGTGTCGGGTGGTGGCGGGTTTAACCGCACATTTATATTCATGCGATTGTGGATGTATATACATGTACAGTAAAACCTTGGCTTGCGAGTAACTTGGTCTGCGAGTGTTTTGCAAGACGAGCAAATTTTTTAAATAAATTTTAATTTGATAAACGAGCGAGGGTCTTGCAATACGAGTAGTGTACGTACACTCTTTGTCTGCCGAGCGTCACGTGATCACAACTGATATACGAGTGCTTTGGATTACAAGCACGTTTCCGGAACGAATTATGCTCGCAATCCAAGGTTTTACTGTATGCGTCGCACAGCAGCAGAGGGACCCGTAACAAAATCCATTGTTGTACTGTACCCGTATGTTTCCACGTCGATTTACACAACTGTCACTGACCAGCGTGGTGAAGTATAGTCAAATACCGCCCTCCCCACGTCCCACACGTTGTGGGAGAAGGCCTTCATCCAGCAGTGGATCGATAAAGGAATGTAAATAAATATTGTTTAGTGTGATGCATTACTGTGATTCCAATACTGTGATGGCAGTGTTCCCATCGGCCATCTGTGTTTACAAACTCAGTTCCCATTTCACAGTGAACACGATCGATGTTAGTTGTGTGCATATTTTCACGTTGCATTTTCTCTCCTCCTCTGTGAACGTTCGTGTGTGTAGGCCGTGGTACGTAAGTCTCACCGAGGAGTGAGGTCGTCTATGTTTCGCAAACGTGGCGACGAAACACACTAAAGCTTTTTTTTTTCTCTTTTTCTCACGTGCTTCATAGAACTACCACCGAGTGCTTGTACCGCTAACAGCTTCCCGCTTCTTGTGCGCAGCAGTGCGGGACGTGGGGAGGGCATGTACGTACGTACGTACGTTGAACCTCTTTCGCGCCCTACGTAGCCCACCGTGCTAATCGGGGGTGCGGGGGAAGAACAACTAAACGCAAAAAGGCAGTTCTAAAGAAATCAGTTTTCAATCGAGATGATTTAAAGGTGCACAGCTCCAGTGGGTTCGGAAGGAAGAGCGTTCCAGACGGCCTCAGAAGCGCATCCGAAATTCGTGCGTTGCGGTGACTTTGTTCGACGGTTTGCGTGATGATAGTTTATACTCCGCAAGGCATTGTAGTTCATTTAATTCTGACCGGCCAATCGGGAGTAAGAATGGCGGTAAATTAGGCCATGAGAGAGTCCTAGGTACCGCATCGGGGCACCGGGCCAGCAACCGTTGGTCCAGACCCCGGGTTCGAATCCGGGTTATACCTGGCCACCAGCGTGGCGAGTTGATGGTCTCAGCTGCACAAGACCCAGAAAACCCATCGTACTGCTTTGCCACTTATCTTCCAGCCGTAGCGACGGCGTGCTCGCCCACGCGATGGACGTGAGCAGTTGCGGTCCACGTAGAAGAAGGCACGCCCGACTGGTGTGTGGGTCTGTTCAGGTGACGTCACCTTTCGGGCGGCTGTTCTCTGCCACAAAGTGGCGCACCGCTCGCTGCGAGAGAGACGTTTTCGACGGGAACGTGTGAACGATCTCTCCAGCGTCGCGACGCTGGATGCGATTGAGCAAAGCAATCGTCTGAATGAAGCTCGATCCCGGCGTCTTCATTTGCAGCCCCGGCTACAGCTCGGGCAGCAAAGCTGCATAGCCGTACCGCACCGATGACCCCAGACAATGCTACCGTCGCCGCGCTTGCTTGTGTCAGCTGAGGTGTCAGCTTGTGTCACCAATACAGTCGCTGTGTCAGCTTGTGTCACCAGTCCAGTCGCTGTGTCAGCTTGTGTCACCTGTCCAGTCGCTGTGTCAGCTTGTGTCACCAGCCCAGTCACTGTGTCAGCTTGTGTCACCAGCCCAGTCGCTGTGTCAGCTTGTGTCACCAGTCCAGTCGCTGTGTCAGCTTGTGTCACCAATACAGTCGCTGTGTCAGCTTGTGTCACCAGTCCAGTCGCTGTCAGCTTGTGTCACCAGTCCAGTCGCTGTGTCAGCTTGTGTCACCAGTTCAGTCGCTGTGTCAGCTTGTGTCAGCTTGTGTCAGCTTGTGTCACCAATACAGTCACTGTGTCAGCTTGTGTCACCAGTCCAGTCGCTGTGTCAGCTTGTGTCACCAGTCCAGTCGCCGTGTCAGCTTGTGTCACCAATACAGTCGCTGTGTCAGCTTGTGTCACCAGTCCAGTAGCTGTGTCAGCTTGTGTCACCAGTCCAGTTGCTGTGTCAGCTTGTGTCAGCTTGTGTCACCAGTCCAGTCGCTGTGTCAGCTTGTGTCACCAGTCCAGTCGCTGTCAGCTTCTGTCACCAGCCCAGTCGCTGTGTCAGCTTGTGTCACCAGTCCAGTCGCTGTCAGCTTGTGTCACCAATACAGTCGCCGTGTCAGCTTGTGTCACCAGTCCAGTCGCTGTCAGCTTGTGTCACCAATACAGTCGCTGTGTCAGCTTGTGTCACCAGTCCAGTCGCTGTCAGCTTGTGTCACCAATACAGTCGCTGTGTCAGCTTGTGTCACCAGTCCAGTCGCTGTCAGCTTGTGTCACCAGCCCAGTCGCCGTGTCAGCTTGTGTCAGCTTGTGTCACCAGCCCAGTCGCCGTGTCAGCTTGTGCCACAAGTTCAGTCGCTGTGTCAGCTTGTGTCGATTACCCGGGGGGATGGGGAGGGGCGGTGAAATGTTCCACCCCTATTGCAGTGAAAGAGTAAAACGGCAACTCTAGCGCTGGCAGATGCAAGCGTGTGGCCGGAGTAACGCCAGTGCTCCTCGACAGGTCAGAGAGCTGGACGTGAGAAATAGAAACGGGGAAAGAGGCCCTTCAGTAGAGGTGATGGCGCAGATGGCGTGGAGTAGTAGTAGTAGCAGCATTAATTTTTGTGGTCGATTCTCACCGCTGGTCTTGAACCGCAGAACGTTTGCAACAAGGTGGCACACACGCTGTCACCAGCGGGGTGTCTACGCGTTGGTTCGAACGACGCTTTGTAGCTTCTACCCCCCCCCCGGGAGACTTGGTGACCGTGACGTTGACCTTGGCTGGCGAGCGACTGTTGTTGTTGCTGTTTGCTCCGTGGTCTATTGCCGTGTCCACCCCCTCTGGCCACCTCCACCGCATGCAGAGCTACTTCGAGGAGGACGAGTGGAAGGAGTACATCTACAAGGAGCCCAAGCTCACAGGCCTCTCCGAGATCTCCCAGCGCCTGCAGCTGCTCTACGCCGACAAGTTCGGCTCGCAGAACGTGCGCATCATCCAGGACTCGAACCCGGTGAGAGGTCGTCGTCGTCGTCATCATGATGATCGCCATCATTGTCATCATCGTCATGATCGTCGTCGTCATTGTCGTTATGATCATCGCCATCATTGTCATCATCGTCATGATCGTCGTCGACATCATCGTTGTCGTCATGATCATCGCCATAAATGTCATCATCGTCGTGATTATCATCGTCGTCGTCGTCATCATCTTCAACAGCAATCGACACCATCATCATTGTCATCATCATGATCATCGTTATTATCATGATCATTATCATCATCATCACTATCATCATCATCGTCATCATCATCGTCATCATCGTCATCATCGTCAACATCATCAACATCATCATCATCGTCATCATCATCGTTATTCTCATCATCATCATCGTCATCGCGGCACGTTCACTGCTCCTGCTGTGTGCCAGGGCTCCCACGAGTCTTCTTGTCAGGTTGTGTCATAATAATGTTGACAACAATGACAATGGTGACGATGATGACGATGCACCGCTCGAGACAATCACATCAAGTTCTCCCTCGCCGTCTGGGGAAAGGTAAAAGTGCCGCCTCGCTCTAACTCGGTCACGCCAATGCCGGGCAGAGGAGGGCATTTGGGTCCCACTCTCCAATGCCGGCCAAGAGGGTCTCTGGGGAGGTGGGAGCAGCCACACTTTACCCCAACACACGCACGACTCGCCGATGGAACTCGCTGTGGTGTTAACCCATTTGAATTGGAATTCCCCGCTCGGGTGGACAGGGGTGTGGAGGAGGGGCTTAAGAAACTAGCTCCCCCGTTGTTTAAATCCATTTCAGACATCGTCATCCACGGGACAGGGTCTCTCTGGAGGTAAACTATATATTAAACAAAAATTGGTTTACATTTTTATTTGTCTACCAGGCAAGGCCCACTGAGCTGTATAGCTTCTTTTTCAGAAGCGACCTGGCCACAAATGGTAGCTCAACGAAGTGGCTTTTCAGGTGGAAATTTATAGCAGCCAAATACTCTTAAACGTGTGACATTGGTTCTAAATGTTGGAGGGATAGAAACCGGAGGGTCCGGAGAAAAATCCATGCGACCACAATAAGAGAGAGAAAGATAACACGCAAACTCCATATATACAACAGGCTTCAGAGTCGGGATCGAACCCACGGATCCTTCGTACCAGGCGAGGTAGTTAACATCTCCTAGTCACTGTGATGAGAGAGAACACGCAAGGATCGGCATCGAACCCACGACCTACTGCATACCAGGCGAGATAGTTAACATCTCCTTGCCACGCTAATGATGATGAGAGACATAGTGAACCCGCAAACTCCAAATATACAACAGGCGTCAGGGTCGGGGATCGAACCCATGACCTCCTGTGTACCAGGCGAGGTAGTTAACATCTCATCGTGGTTGGGATCGAACCCACGACCTCCTGCGTACCAAGCGAGGTAGTTAACATCTCATCGTGGTTGGGATCGAATCCACGACCTCCTGCGTACCAGGCGAGGTGGTTAACATCTCCTAGCCACCGTGATGATGATGTTGAGCGAGAGAGAACACACAAACTCCACATACAACAGGCGTCAGGGTCGGGGATCGAACCCACGACCTCCTGCGTACCAGGCGAGGTAGTTAACATCTCCTGGCCACCGTGATGATGATGAGCGAGAGAGAACACGCAAACTCCACACACAACAGGCGTCAGGGTCGGGGATCAAACCCACGACCTCCTGCGTACCAGGCGAGGCAGTTAACATCTCATCGTGGTTGGGATCGAACCGACGACCTCCTGCGTACCAGGCGAGGTAGTTAACATCTCATCGTGGTTGGGATCGAACCGACGACCTCCTGCGTACCAGGCGAGGCAGTTAACATCTCGTCGCCGCAGGTGGACGTGTCGGAGCTGGACCCGCGCCTCGCCTACATCCAGATCACGTACGTGCAGCCCTTCTTCAGCGGCGCCGAGCAAGCCGCGCGGCGCACCGACTTTGAGCGCGGTCACAACGTGCGGCGCTTCGTGTTCGAGACGCCCTACACCGCGTCGGGGAGGAAACACGGCGACGTCACGGAACAGTGCAAGCGCCGGACTGTGCTCACCAGTGAGCCGCCGCCCACCACCCCCCCACCACCCCCCCACCACCCACCCACCACCCCCCCACCACCCACCCACCACCCCCCCACCACCCACACCCCCCAACCACCACCCACACCCCGCAAGATGTAGCTGAGGGCCTACACTTCCTCGTCAGTCACCCCGCCTGGTGTAGCTGTCGAGTGTGCAGGCGGTGCAACTGCACCGAGGCCCCCGCGGGCCGGTGGAGAGGACCCCAGGTGCCGGGCTACGAGCAGGGGGGGAGGAATCAGACGGGGGGGGGGTAGGGGGGGAGGGGGGGAGGGGGGAGGGGGATCCTCAATTCATGGCTTTGCACCAGGGCCCCATGCCACCCTGCGCACAGCAAGAGATCCCCCGTGTAGCCTTCACGGACTGTTGGGGCAAGCGCTGTTGTCGAGTAGCACCTGTGAAGGCCGGCACGGCACACAAGGAGGTGGTTGGCCAGCACCACGCCCGGCCGCCTTTGTCTCCCCACTGGCATTGTTCACACGGCGCACCAGGTACTAATTTCAGGCTGAGTCGACCTAAGGGATGCCCAGGACCGGTTCAGATAATCGCCACTGGTGTTTGTTGCCGCGAACCGGGGAATCGAACTCGCGTCGTTGGGTTCGAAGCGCAGCGTGCTAACCGCTGCACCACCGATCCCCACAGGACACGCACGCATGCACGCGTGCACACAAGAACAACATCTGCCAGCGGTCGTCAAAAATTTCCGTGATGCCAACACGGGAACAGTGTTGTGTGCGCGACGTGGTGCCGTGGAAGTGCATTGCCACGACGTTTGAAAGACCGTCATCGCGACAGCACCGTGCGATCTAGTCCTCGGTTATGCAAGTGGATGTTGGCCTTGGTATTTCTGTAATCAAGAGGACTCGCAGGGTATCGGCGGCATGCAGTTTGAAGGACATCAATCTTATTTCCCTTCTTTGTCTTTTCCCGTGCACCATCAACACCATGCACACTCACACCACCACCACCACCACCACGTGTCAAATGTCACCACCACAATATCATCATCACCATCACCACCACCATCATCACCATCACCACCACCATCATCACCATCACCACCACCATCATCACCATCACCACCACCATCACCACCACCATGTCCACTACCACCATCACCACCACCATCATCATCACCACAACCATCATCACCATCACCACCACCATCATCACCATCACCACCACCATTATCACTATCACCACCACCACCACCATCATCACCACCACCACCATCACCACCATGTCCACTACCACCATCACCACCACCATCACCACCATGTCCACTACCACCATCACCACCACCATCATCCACCATGTCCTCTACCACCATCACCACCACCATGTCCACTACCACCATCACCACCACCATGTCCACTACCACCATCACCACCACCATGTTCACCACCACCATGTCCACCACCATCACCACCACCATGTTCACCACCACCATGTCCACCACCATCACCACCACCATGTTCACCACGACCATGTCCACCACCACCATCATCATCACCACCACCACCATCACCACCATCACCACCACCACTACCACCATCACCACCACCACCATGTCCACCACCACCACCATGTCCACCACCACCACCATGTCCACCATCATCATCACCACCACCACCATGTCCACCATCACCACCACCATCACCACCACCACCACCACCACCATGTCCATCACTACCACCCTTCCCACTTCCACACTCTCCCCGCCGCCTCTCCGGCGCGTGCCGCCGCAACTCCCCAGCGTCGCACACGTTCCCGCACGTGCGCAAGCGCGTGCCCGTGGTGGCACGCCTGCACGAGGAGCTGGGGCCCGTGCAGGTGGCGGTGGACAGCATGCGCAGCAAGGTGGAGGAGCTGAGCACCCTCTGCTCCGAGTCGCCTGCCAACATGATCCAGCTGCAGCTCAAGCTGCAGGGCAGCGTCAGCACGCAGGTGAGACGCGCGGGTGCCTGGTGCGTGTCACGCAGGTGAGACGCCAGCTGTGGATCGTGTAGGTGAGATGCCAGGTGTTAGGTGTGGATCGTGCAGGTGAGATGCCAGATGTGGATCGTGTAGGTGAGATGCCAGGTGTGTATCACGCAGGTGAGACGCCAGGTGCCAGGTGTGTATCGTGCAGGTGCATGAGAGATGGCAACGGCTTGGGGAGTCCTTATCCCAGCATCGTGTGTGACAACGAAGATGACGACGATGCGAACTGCTGACACGGCAATGTCTCGTCCAGGTGAACGCGGGACCCCTCGCTTACGCCAGAGCCTTCCTGGATGAGAACAACTGCGCAAAGTACCCGGAGGAGAGCGTCGAGGAGCTCAGAGACCTCTTCAGGTACGACAGCAGCAGCAGCAGCGCGCACGGACGGACGCGTTAAGAGAGCCGCGTAGAGAGTACCGAGCTAGCGGCCGGCGCGTAGCCCGGCCGTGCGTCCCTTGGCATCTAACTGCAGTTTGAAGCTTCGCGGGTGAGAAAGACTCTTAAAGCGGTGGTTGTCAAGCGTTGTGCTGTCGTCCTCGTCGTCAAGAACACGGGGGAGGAGGCCTCCTGCTTGGTTAAGCCGGCGTCACGACGGATCCAACGAACCCACGAGTTCCTCGGGATGGCCGACTTGCTACTGCCCCCCCCCCCCTTCCCTCGCCCCCTAACGCCAACAAAGATGATACGGAGAGGTCACGGGTCTGGCAAGATGCCAGGTGTTAGTAGCCAGGTGTTAGTAGCCAGGTGTTAGTAGCCAGGTGATAGTAGCCAGGTGTTAGCAGCCAGGTGTTAGTAGCCAGGTGTTAGTAGCCAGGTGTTAGTAGCCAGGTGTTAGTAGCCAGGTGTTAGTAGCCAGGTGTTAGTAGCTAGGTGTTAGTAGCCAGGTGTTAGCAGCCAGGTGTTAGTAGCCAGGTGTTAGTAGCCAGGTGTTAGTAGCCGTGTGTTAGTAGCCAGGTGTTAGTAGCCAGGTGTTAGTAGCCAGGTGTTAGTAGCCAGGTGTTAGTAGCCAGGTTTTAGTAGCCAGGTGTTAGCAGCCAGGTGTTAGCAGCCAGGTGTTAGCAGCCAGGTGTTAGTAGCCAGGTGTTAGTAGCTAGGTGTTAGTAGCCAGGTGTTAGCAGCCAGGTGTTAGTAGCCAGGTGTTAGCAGCCAGCTGTTAGCAGCCAGGTGTTAGTAGCCAGGTGTTAGTAGCCAGGTGTTAGTAGCCAGGTGTTAGTAGCCAGGTGTTAGTAGCCAAGTGTTAGTAGCCAGGTTGTTAGTAGCCAGGTGTTAGTAGCCAGGTGTTAGCAGCCAGGTGTTAGTAGCCAGGTGTTAGCAGCCAGGTGTTAGTAGCCAGGTGTTAGTAGCCAGGTGTTAGTAGCCAGGTGTTAGCAGCCAGGTGTTAGCAGCCAGGTGTTAGTAGCCAGGTGTTAGTAGCCAGGTGTTAGCAGCCAGGTGTTAGCAGCCATGTGTTAGTAGCCAGGTGTTAGTAGCCAGGTGTTAGTAGCCAGGTGTTAGTAGCCAGGTGTTAGTAGCCAGGTGTTAGTAGCCAGGTGTTAGTAGCCAGGTGATAGTAGCCAGGTTTTAGCAGCCAGGTGTTAGCAGCCGGGTGTTAGCAGCCAGGTGTTAGCAGCCAGGTGTTAGTAGCCAGGTGTTAGTAGCTAGGTGTTAGTAGCCAGGTGTTAGCAGCCAGGTGTTAGTAGCCAGGTGTTAGCAGCCAGCTGTTAGCAGCCAGGTGTTAGTAGCCAGGTGTTAGTAGCCAGGTGTTAGCAGCCAGGTGTTAGTAGCCAGGTGTTAGTAGCCAGGTGTTAGTAGCCAGTTGTTAGTAGCCAGGTGTTAGTAGCCAGGTGTTAGTAGCCAGGTGTTAGCAGCCAGGTGTTAGCAGCCAGGTGTTAGCAGCCAGGTGTTAGTAGCCAGGTGTTAGCAGCCAGGTGTTAGCAGCCAGGTGTTAGTAGCCAGGTGTTAGTAGCCAGGTGTTAGTAGCCAGTTGTTAGTAGCCAGTTGTTAGTAGCCAGGTGTTAGTAGCCAGGTGTTAGTAGCCAGGTGTTAGCAGCCAGGTGTTGGTAGCCAGGTGTTAGTAGCCAGGTGTTAGTAGCCAGTTGTTAGTAGCCAGTTGTTAGCAGCCAGGTGTTAGTAGCCAGGTGTTAGTAGCCAGGTGTTAGCAGCCAGGTGTTAGTAGCCAGGTGTTAGTAGCCAGGTGTTAGTAGTCAGGTGTTAGTAGCTGTGTGTTAGTAGCCGTGTGTTAGTAGCCAGGTGTTAGTAGCCAGGTGTTAGTAGCCAGGTGTTAGTAGCCAGGTTGTTAGTAGCCAGGTGTTAGTAGCCAGGTGTTAGCAGCCAGGTTGTTAGTAGCCAGGTGTTAGTAGCCAGGTGTTAGCAGCCAGGTGTTAGTAGCCAGGTGTTAGTAGCCAGGTGTTAGTAGCCAGGTGTTAGTAGCCAGGTGTTAGCAGCCAGGTGTTAGCAGCCAGGTGTTAGCAGCCAGGTGTTAGTAGCCAGGTGTTAGTAGCCAGGTGTTAGTAGCCGTGTGTTAGTAGCCAGGTGTTAGTAGCCAGGTGTTCACGTGCGCTTGGATTGCCGCGGCGTGGCGCTGATGTTTGCCAAGCATTGTTATGATGTCGATTGTGACGACGATGACGATGATGGTGACGATGTTGACGATGGTGACGATGACGGTGACGATGACGGTGACGATGTTGATGACGACAATGATGACGACAATGATGGTGACAGTGATGGTGACGACGATAATTATGATGATTCTGACGATAATGGCGATAATGGTGATGATGGTGACAACGGTGACGACGATGGCGACGACGATAATTACAGTGATTGTGACGACGATGATGATGGTGATGGTGACAACGGTGATGACGGTGATCATCGTGCGACCTGCAGGCAGTTCGTGGTGGTATGCGGCTCCGCGCTGGAGCTCAACGAGACGCTCATCAAGGAGGACCAGCAGGAGTACCACGAGGAGCTGAAGCTCAAGTACGGCGAGATGGTGCAGGAGCTATCGAGCATCCTGCGCGAGATGGTGAGACGTCGCGTGTGCGTGTGTGCGTGTGCGCGTTGAACTTCTTTCGCACCGTACGTGGCCAGCCGGGCTAATCGGAGGGGGTGGTGGTGAAGGACAACAAATTAACACGTAAAAAGCTGTTCTAAACAAATCCGTTTTCAGTCTAGAAACGCATTGTTGGGGCAAGTGCTGTTCGTGTGTAGCGGCAGTGTAGCCTGACAGACCTTCGGGGCAAGTGCTATTTGCGAGCAGCACCTATGGCATGCATGTATGTACGTCGAACTTCTTTCGCACCGTACGTTGCCAGCCGGGCTAATCGGAGGTGCTGGAATTACACGCGGGAATGTTGAGGAGCAGCCAAACAATCCAAAACAATCTACGGCCTATATTCTTGGTTCTTTCGGTAAAGTCACGTAGAAGGGAAACAATAAAATAATACAAATATAAAACAATAAAATTCTCACGACGTTTCGACTGCAACACAAGCAATCATCATCAGGTGGGAAAACCACAACAAGAAAATTTGATAAAAGTTGCGGTTATTTTTAACGTTAGCACCACGGAGAGCGATTTGGCAGTTATTCAGATGGACAATTCCATCTATATCCGGAAAAGAGGAGGGAGGGGAGACGAAAAATTATGGATGCGGTCTGAAAGCCACCTTAAGCGTGAACAATCAATTAAGACCCGAAATGGTTTATCAAATCCTTCCAATGATTGCTAAGCCAGAATCCATCTTCTCGGTTGAAATTGTCTCTGTGCTTGTATATGTGGATAGCCTCATGAACGAATCTCTCATGGTAGCCAGATGGCTTGCGGAGAACCTCCGTCTTGGAGAAAGAAAACAACAACAACAACAACAATCTACGGCCTCTGCGTCGCGACGCGTTTCGAAGCCGCGACGGTGGCTGCCTGCAACCCCGCGACCCGAGGAGACCGAGCCCCGCCCATGCCACCCTCACCCTCACCCCCCCCCCCCCCCGCCCCTTCATACCCCCCCCCCCCCCCCCCCGCACCCTCGCTAGGTTATGCCACAGTGGAGGTCCCTGCGTAACAGCGCCGTCAGGGGCTCCGTGCACATGTACTTCAACGCGGTGAGCCAGCCAGCCAGCCTGCGCGGGGTCACGGGGTCATCGTCCAGCGCGTGAGGCCGGGGGCACCGTCCCCGCCGGCTTTTCCTGCAGCGCCGGCAGCAGCAGCAGCAGCAGCGACACCGGGAGCGCCACCACTCCCGCCGCCGCGACCGCGCCAGGAGCACCTGCACCAAGACCATCATCACCACCACCACCACCACCTGCTAACAGCATCAGCAACAGCGCTAGCAGCAATGGCACCAACACAAATGCCACTGACCGTCACCACTACCACCTCCGCCCCACAACCGCGCTGCACGTGTCACTACCCGGTCGCTGTCGCCACTTACGACCATCGCTAACCACAGCCATCACACTACCGCTGTTATCACTGCCAACAACGACCGCCCCTACAACCACCAACTATCACCACTACCACCAACTACTCCACTGTCACCACCACCACCACCACCGCCGCCAATCACAATACAACCAACAAGCTCATTGCCCACAACCAGTGGCAATGAACCCCGGCGATAATGAATGAAGATGCCTCCGAACACATCTGTATCCGAGGCCAGAGGCGGTATTCGCCTGCTGCATTTGCGGCCTGCTGCACCGAGGGCAGCGTTCCTCCGCGTTCCGCTGGGCCCTCGGTCGGTAACCTCCTGGCGCGTTTGTGAACCTGCAGCGTGGGTGAGGGTTAAGGAGTCTGTGGCAGTGTGGGTGAGGGTTAAGGAGTCTGTGGCAGTGTGAGTGAGGGTTAAGGAGTCTGTGGCAGTGTGAGTGAGGGTTAAGGAGTCTGTGGCAGCGTGAGCGAAGGTTAAGGAGTCTGTGGCAGTGTGAGTGAGGGTTAAGGAGTCTGTGGCAGTGTGAGTGAGGGTTAAGGAGTCTGTGGCAGTGTGAGTGAAGGTTAAGGAGTCTGTGGCAGTGTGAGTGAGGGTTAAGGAGTCTGTGGCAGTGTGGGTGAGGGTTAAGGAGTCTGTGGCAGTGTGAGTGAAGGTTAAGGAGTCTGTGGCAGTGTGAGTGAGGGTTAAGGAGTCTGTGGCAGTGTGGGTGAAGGTTAAGGAGTCTGTGGCAGTGTGAGTGAAGGTTAAGGAGTCTGTGGCAGTGTGAGTGAGGGTTAAGGCGTCTGTGGCAGTGTGGGTGAGGGTTAAGGAGTCTGTGGCAGTGTGAGTGAGGGTTAAGGAGTCTGTGGCAGTGTGAGTGAGGGTTAAGGAGTCTGTGGCAGTGTGAGTGAGGGTTAAGGAGTCTGTGGCAGTGTGAGTGAGGGTTAAGGAGTCTGTGGCAGTGTGAGTGAGGGTTAAGGAGTCTGTGGCAGTGTGAGTAAAAATTAAGGAGTCTGTGGCAGTGTGAGTGAGGGTTAAGGAGTCTGTGGCAGTGTGGGTGAGGGTTAAGGAGTCTGTGGCAGTGTGAGTGAGGTTTAAGGAGTCTGTGGCAGTGTGAGTGAGGGTTAAGGAGTCTGTGGCAGTGTGGGTGAGGGTTAAGGAGTCTGTGGCAGTGTGAGTGAAGGTTAAGGAGTCTGTGGCAGTGTGAGTGAGGGTTAAGGAGTCTGTGGCAGTGTGAGTGAGGGTTAAGGAGTCCGTGGCAGTGTGAGTGAGGGTTAAGGAGTCTGTGGCAGTGTGAGTGAGGGTTAAGGAATCTGTGGCAGCGTGAGCGAAGGTTAAGGAGTCTGTGGCAGTGTGAGTGAGGGTTAAGGAGTCTGTGGCAGTGTGAGTGAGGGTTAAGGAGTCTGTGGCAGTGTGAGTGAGGGTTAAGGAGTCTGTGGCAGTGTGGGTGAAGGTTAAGGAGTCTGTGGCAGTGTGAGTGAGGGTTAAGGAGTCTGTGGCAGTGTGGGTGAGGGTTAAGGAGTCTGTCCCAGTGTGAGTGAGGGTTAAGGAGTCTGTGGCAGTGTGAGTGAGCGTTAAGGAGTCTGTCCCAGTGTGAGTGAGGGTTAAGGAGTCTGTGGCAGTGTGGGTGAGGGTTAAGGAGTCTGTGGCAGTGTGAGTGAGGGTTAAGGAGTCTGTGGCAGTGTGGGTGAGGGTTAAGGAGTCTGTCCCAGTGTGAGTGAGGGTTAAGGAGTCTGTGGCAGTGTGAGTGAGAGTTAAGGAGTCTGTCCCAGTGTGAGTGAGGGTTAAGGAGTCTGTGGCAGTGTGGGTGAGGGTTAAGGAGTCTGTGGCAGTGTGAGTGAGGGTTAAGGAGTCTGTGGCAGTGTGGGTGAGGGTTAAGGAGTCTGTGGCAGTGTGAGTGAAGGTTAAGGAGTCTGTGGCAGTGTGAGTGAGGGTTAAGGAGTCTGTGGCAGTGTGGGTGAAGGTTAAGGAGTCTGTGGCAGTGTGAGTGAGGGTTAAGGAGTCTGTGGCAGTGTGAGTGAGGGTTAAGGAGTCTGTCCCAGTGTGGGTGAGGGTTAAGGAGTCTGTGGCAGTGTGAGTGAAGGTTAAGGAGTCTGTGGCAGTGTGGGTGAGGGTTAAGGAGTCTGTGGCACCGTTTACGGAGGAGGAAGTATGGCCGTCGACTGTCCGGTGTCTTGGCTCCCATTGCGAAGCAGCAAAAATGGACGTCTGGAAATCGGCGAATTACGTAAATAAATGAAGCAATTGGCGGGACCCCGGGGTCCCATCACTGCCCCGTGGTGGGAAAAACCCGCGTAGCGACGCTAGTTTTGTTTCCTTACCGACAACAACAAAACTAGCGGTCAATCGATTGGCCTCGTCGAGAGCTACTCGGGGCACTAAGTTTCGTAAAAAGTTGAAAAATTACATAAACACGTTAAATTCACTGCCTAGGGGGGGCGGTGGGCTCGCCTTGGCAAAGAAGCTGAGGGTCGACGGCTGACCGGAGGGCGACTGCGGCGGACGCACCCCGGGGCTCGCGTTTGGCCGGTGGGGTGGCGCCCATCGTGGTGATCACCACCTGCTGCTGCTGGCGCTTGTTGTCGGCGCGGTAGTCTGGGCGGGCGGCGAGTTGCTGTCGGGATCACGAGTGGGAGGACTGAAGAAAAATAATAATAATTATTGACCTGATTTTTGTGGGACCCCGGGGTCCCGCCAAATGATTCAAATGTGATTTTTTAATGGTACGGTTGCATATTGGCTCCCCTTACAAAGAGGGAGGAGATATGATTCCAGATAATCTGCCCAAAGATAGTCGAGTGGCATCTGTGGCAATCGCAGGCGCGATGTCATCGCAGAATCATAAGCGTGATGACATCATAGGCGTGATGTCATCACATGACATCACAGGTGCGATGTCATCACAGAATCACAGGCGTGTGACGTGAGTGGCCGACGATGAGGATGCCACTCCTCGATGCACGATGTAAATAACGAAACGTGACCGCTGCCAGCAAGGAAATGGCGCTTCCAGCCACGCGTGCGTACGCGTGTGTGTATGTTGAACTTCTTTCGCACCGTACGTTGCCAACCGTGCTAATCGGATGTGTTTGGTGAAAGGACAACATACTGAACGCGACAACGGGCAGCTGTAAAGAAATGGGTCTTCGCTCTAGATGATTTAAAAGTGGCATAGCTCCAGCGACTCCCTCATATCGGAACGGAAGAGCGTTCCAGACGGCCGCGGGGGCGCATCTGAAAGCGCGCGACGCGGTGACCGTTCCTTGTTCGATGGCCAGTCAAAAGCCGCCGCTTCGCGGATGACCGGGAGCTCGAGCGATGGTGGTCGATGCCCCTTGACAAGGTCAGCAAGGTGTTACGGTGTAAACATCGGCAAGATTTGTTGTCGCCGATTTTAAATGTCCTGGCCTCAATGCGGCCCGGATGTGAGCGTGACCGGGGCTGACGAGGGGGACGCGGGTGGAGGGGTGACGACTGCCAACTCGACATTTGTCGCCGTTGAGGCTCTCAGAAATTGGGCAGCTTGAAATGTAATCCCCCGCCACGCCCCCCCCCCACGCCCCCCCCCCACGCCCCCCCCCCACGCCCCCCCCACGCCCCCCCCCACGCCCCCCCCCAACGCCCCCCCCACGCCCCCACGCCCCACGTCTGTCGTGACCCATTGGCATCAAAGCTCTGACAAATAGGTCACGTCGACCAAGGCTATCGACCACTCGATACGATTCATATCGATTAACCATCCACAATTACCTTACAAGGTTGGTGGTGGTGGTGGGGGCACATATCTGATCGGGGAGCCGACAGGCGGCTTATGCCGACCAAGAATGGGCCTGGCCCTGCCGCGGGAATGTGGAAATTATCATTTTGCGTCCAGAAACCAAGTGACGTGTACGAGGAACATTGCCTTGTACACAACACTGTGTTACACTTATCGTCGCGATTGCGAATGTGTCGAAGTATTGCGGGCTTAAAGAGTTCCAAGTGTCCGATTGTAAACTCAGAAAAAGAGGTTGCAGCAGCAGCAGCAGTATAAGAAAACTATTTTAAACTGTGTTTTTATGTTACCAGGCAAGGCTCACTGAGCTGTACAGCTCTTTTTCAGAAGCCACCTGGACACAAATGATAGCTCAACAAAGCGGCTCATGTTATATGCAACGTTACAGCAGCCAATTAATCTGAACGCGTGAGGTTTGATTAAAAAATGCGGAGGGTGTGGGGGGAACAAAAATAAAACGGAGGACCCGGATTAAAATCCACGCGATCACGGAGAGAGAGAGAGAGAGAGACACGCAAACTCCAAATATACAGCAGCAGGTGCCAGGGTTCGGGATCGAATCCACAACCTCCTGCACGCCGGGCGAGGGAGTTAACATCGCCTAGCCCCCGTGGCTCCACCAATGATGCGTGCGACTTGTGGATACTGCGGCAGTTTCGTTTCCTCTGGTTGCGAATTTCACGCGTGAGTGGTTCCTCCTCGCGAGCCGTTTTCAGTTGTTTCGTACACAACTCGGGACTGTGACGACGGGAAGTCACTGTCACCTGCATCGATTGCCATCGTCGTCATCACCACCTAATTTTTTTGACATATATCCCATCCACTCATCTCGTTTCACCTCGCCCACCGCCTTGTCCCATAGTTCACTGCACAGCGCCTTGGTTTATATGTCCTGTAAATATCATCATCAACAACAACAATCTTCACTACGAAGACAACCATCGCTCAACAATCAGCAACTTATATTACACAATCAACGTTGATAAGTAATCACGCACGATCGTCAACAGCCATCGCTGGGTCCTCTGTGCTGAGTCTCGGCTCAGACCTCTCTGGCTCGATTGAGCCGGCCATGAATGAGCATGGCTCCACGAGCTGAGCCTGATCCGAGCCGTGTTATTCGAGGTGGAAAACCAGAGCCGATCCGTGATTAGGAATACGGCCCTCGGAAGTCATCGTCGTTGTGATAATCACCATCATCACCACCACCGTCTTCCAACCATCACAGCTGTCATCATCAATCATCTTCAACAAGAGCGAGCATATTATTTGTTCTTTCGGTAAAGTCACGTTGAAGGGAAATAATAAAATAATGATATATATATAAAACAATAAAATTATCACGACGTTTCGACTGCAACACAAGCAGTCATCATCAGGTGTGAAAACCAAATGTTCTTGCCGTTGGTTTTCACACCTGATGATGACTGCTTGTGTTGCAGTCGAAACGTCGTGAGAATTTTATTGTTTTATATATATTTCATTATTCTATTGTTTCCCTTCTACGTGACTTTACCGAAAGAACCAAGAATATGAATCACTGCAGTCACGAAAGCCTTAAATCAAAATTTAAGAGCGAGCATCTTCATTCAAACATTTCCATCGCCATCAGTGCGACTCACGTCGTTTGTGGGCTCCAGTCACTGAAAAGTGGTCAGTCGGAGAAGGTGATCCATTGCGCAGTTGTGTGTTAGTATGTTGAACTTCTTTCGCACCGTACGTCGCCGACCGTGCTAATCGGAGGTGCGGAAAGGAGGGGGTGAGCGACAGGGAGGGGTGAGCAGTGCAGTCGTGGAGCACACTCGCCAACCCTGACCCCTGACCCCGAGTCTAAACTAAAAACTGTTAACTATTCTTTTTGTCTCATCATCATTAGACCTCCTTTGTCAGTACCAAAATGTAATAATGGGGTTTTTTCCCTTAATATTCTTTTTGTATTCTTGGTTCTTTCGGTAAAGTCACCACACGTAGAAGGGAAACAATAAAATAATAAAAATATAAAACAATAAAATTCTCACGACGTTTCGACTGCAACACCTGATGATGATTGCTTGTGTTGCAGTCGAAACGTCGGGAGAATTTTATTGTTTTATATTTTTATTATTTTATTGTTTCCCTTCTACGTGACTTTACCGAAAGAACCAAGAATATGAATCCCTGCAGTCACGAAAGCTTTAAATCAAAATTGATTATTTTAGTATTTTACCAGGGTAAGGCTCATTGAGCTGTATAGCTCTTTTTTTCGGAAGCAACCTGGCCACAAATGATAGCTCAACGAAGTGGCTTTTCAGGTGGAAATTTATAGCAGCCAA